ACAAGATGACACCCAATAACATAGAAAAATAATACGTCTAAAGTCTATTAAACATGTAGTCTATGCTAGAAAATGTGCATGACTACCTCAGTTAAGCCTCTGTTTTACAGAGAAGGAAACTGAGGCTCAGAGAGGCTAAGTAATTTGCAGAAGGTCACACAGTGAGAGGCAGAGCTGACAGTCAAAGCTTACCTAACACTAAGTTCAAGCTCTTAATCACTACTGCTGTGTGATTCTCATGTGGCCTATGGATCGACTGCAGTGCTTGTGAAAATGTAGGTTCCAGAGTCTCACTGCATCCTCTCCGATGACAAATCTTGAAAAGTGGTTCTCAGGAATCTGCATTTTTCCCACTGTCTTTACAGGCTTTACATGTAACCTTGAGAACCACTGTTCTAAAAATGAACCTCCAATGTATCCCATGACATTCAACATATGGGTCCAGTCACTCAGCCCTGCCATGTGCAGGGCCTCCTGCTGGCCACTGAGGCAAAGACAGGCCCTTCTTAGGAGCTCACAGTCTAGAAAGGAAGACACGGCAAATTGACAACTTCAGTACCCTTGAGATGTACTCTGTGGGGTTCTGCAACACAGGGAAATGAATTACAAAGACCCCCAAAGAATACGCCCTGAAATACAGAACACTCTCTGCCCTGGACTGGGCTCAGGTCAAGGGAGGGCTAGGAGGAGGGGCACATGTTAGGGACGAACCCTTGAGCAGCAGTGCAGAACAAGAGCAATTTTGCACAGATGCTGACCTCAAAGTTGAAGAAGCAGACACTCCCCAGGTGGAAGGGGCAGAGTGAGAGGATGGGGGCACTGGGGTCAAGGTGAGACTGCAGAGGAACCAACAGGACCACACAGGGGCCAGATCAGCCGTGGGGGTCTGCTCTCCACACCAAGGGTCTTGGCTTTGGGCAAGGAGAAGCAGCTTAAAGAGAAGCAACCAGGTCACAATTTCAAATCACCATGGCAGCCAAGCAGGAGATGGACGGAGGATGAGGAAACCTTCGCAGTGTGCACGGTGGCACCACACGTGACAGCCTCACCAACCAAATGCCCCTCTGCAGGTGAAGGGACAGCAAGATGTGGTATAGCCACACCGTGGACTACTGTGCAGTCGTCAGGAGGCGTGAGGGTTGGAGAATAGGCCACAATATGGAGAGGCCGTGAAGACGTGAGGCTGGAGGACCGCACTGCGGGACCACTGTGTGAAGGGTCCGGAGTAGGCGCGCACGGGAGATAGTGGGGAGGGCAGGACTGCCGGGAGCAAACAGGGAGGGGCTGCTAACAGTACAGGGTTAGTGAAAATATTCTAAAATGGACTGTGGTGATGGCTGCACCACTCTGTGAATACATTCCAATGTGCATTTTTAAAAAGGTAGACTGTACCTTATGTAAAGTACACCCCAATAAAACATGATAAAAGGAAAAAAATTCAGGGGTTGTGCAATCCTGATGTATCTTTGAGGTTTCAGACCTGGACCAGACCTGGAGCCACCAGCATTGATGTCCCCACACTCGGCAGAGCTGAGAGTATCTGGACTTTTATGTCTGGCTTCTCTCATGTAGCATATTTTCAAGACTCATCCATGTTGTAGCATGTGTCAAAACATCCAATCTATGAACAAAGGGTCTTTCCACTTGCTTAGATTATAATTTTTCCCATAGTGTTTTGCAATTTTCAGTGTATAAGCCTTGTGCCTCCTTGGTTAAATTTATTTCTAAGTATTCTAATCATTTTGATGCTTTATAAATGGAAGTGTTATCTTAAGTTCATTTTGATAGTTTTTTCTTTGCCAGTACATAGAGATGCAAGTGATTTTTATGTTGACTTCATATCTTGCAATTTTGCTGGATTTGTTTATTAGCTCCATAAGTTTTTATGTGAATTCTTGAAGGCTTTCTAGACAGTAGTCATGACATCTGCAGAGATAGTTCTAACTTCTTCCTTTTCAATGTCTTTTATTTCCTTTTCTCATCTAACTGCCCTAGCGAGAACTTCCAGCAAAATGCTGAATGGAAGTGGTGAGAGTGGACAGCCTTCCTGTTCCTGATCTGGGGGTAAAGCCTCTGGTCTTCTACCACTAAATACAGTGTTAGCTGTGGGCTTTCCACACAAAAACAGGCAGCGAAAGTTCCCTTTCATTCTTAATATGGTAAGTGTTTTCATGAATGGGTTTCGAATTCTGTAAAAGACTTTTTCTGTACCCACTGAGATGACTTTCTGGTTTTTCTCTTTATTCCATGACATGGATTAATTTTCATTCATTAAACCAACTTTGCATTCCTGAGATAAATTCCACTTAGTCATGCTGCAGAATTCCCTTTATCTGCTGCTGGATTCTTTCTTTCGGTATTTTATTAAGGACTTTTGTGTAAGGAACACTGGCCAGCAGTTTTCTTTACTTGTGATGTCTTTTTCTGGCTTTGTTATCAGGGTAATACTGGCCTCACAGGATGAGTCAGGAAGTGTTCTCTCTCCTATTTTTGGAAGAGTCTGAGAAAGATTGCTGTCAACTCTTCTCTTACACGTTTGGTAGAATTCACCAGTGAGGCCAGCCGGCCCTGGGCTGGCTTTTCTTTGTCGAGTGTTTTTTGATCACCAATTCCGTTTCTTTAGCTGCTATAGGTCTATTCCAATTTTCTTTCTTCCTGAGTCATTTTGGATAGTCTGTGACTGTGAGGAGCCTGTCCACTTCACGTGGGTCACACACCCGCTGGGGTATGTTCACAGGTCCCCTTTGGATCCTCTTCATTTCTGAAAGGCCATTAGTCGTGTTCCCACTTTTATTCCTGCTTCTACCAACTTTAGTCGCCTCTTTTTCTCTTGATCAGTCTAGCTACAGGTTTGTAAATCTACCGATCTTTTCAAAGAACCAACTTTGGGTTTCGCTGATCTTCTCTGATTTTTCTATTCCCTTTGTTTCTGCCCTAATCTTTATTACTTCTTCCTGTGCCTGCTTTAGGCCTCATTCACTCTTCTTTTTCTCCTTTCTTCAGGTAGATTAGCTCACTGATTTGAGATAATCTTCTTTTGAAAGGTAGGTGTTTACAGCTATAAACTCCCCTGAGAGCTGCTTTTCAATGCCTCCCTCAGTTTTGTTGTGAATTTTTCCTTCTGTTATTAATTTCTAATTTTATTCCAATGAAATGATACTGTGTGTAACTGCAATCTTTTGAAATGTACTGAGATCTGTTTTATTACTCAACATACAGCCTCTCCTGCAGGTTCTGCGTGCACCTGAGAAGAACATGTATCTTGCTGGTGCTGGATAGTGAGTGCCCCACAGCTGCCTCACAGGTCTCGTCAGCACACAGCACACACATATACACAGCGTGCTCATACACACAGTGTACTCACTACACCCAGCACACCCATATACACAGCACACACAGTGCACTTACACACTCAGCATGGAGTTCGAGGCTTGTGTGCCTGTGCTGATTTCTCTCAGTTGTAGCCCATCATTTACTTTTTTTCCCCCACTAGGCGATTATTTTATACGTGTACAGTTCAGTGGCCGTAAGTATATTCACACTGTTGTGCAACCGCCACCAGCATCCATTTCTGGAACTTTCTTCATCTTGCATGACTGAAACTCTGTACTCTTTGAACAATACTCCCCATTAGCCCCCAGCCCCTGGCAACCTCGTCTCCTTCCAGTCGCTACGCATCTGACTACTCTAAGGATTTCATGTAAGTGGAATCATATAACGTGTTCTTCTATGTTAATATCTGTACTTCAGTCAGCATAATGTCTTTAAGATGCATCCACACTGTGGGACGTGTTAGAATTTCTCTCCTTTTAAAGGCTGAATAATATCCCACCCTGTGTGTCGCCACATTTTGTTTACCCGGTCACCTGTCAATGGACACTGGGGTGGCTTCCACCTTCTGGCTACTGTGAATAGTGCTCCTAGGGACACGGAAGTACAAATATCTGATCAGGACCACATACTCAATTATTCTGCGTACAGACATACAATAAGCAGGCTTTCTGGATCACACATTAGTGCCATGTTTAACTGCACCACGCCCCGTTCCCACCGACAGGACACAAGGGTCCAACCTCTCCACACCCTCCCAGCACTGCTTTTCATCTAACGGAAGCTGGAGATGTGGACACACGAGCACATCCTCACTGAGCATGGTGACTTTCTGAGAATTCAAAGTCCACTGCGATGCACTACATGAGCTGAGGGTCACTGCCTGAGGCCACCTGCAAACTTTCCAAAGGGGACTTGTTTACAGCAATTGGTCTTAATTTCTTCCTCCACTACTTTGTTACCTCTCTTACACGAAGACTGTGGGGGAAATGTTGTAGCTAGTCCCTCCACATCATTTCAGTGAGGTGAGGGTCGATGTCATGGGGCCAGGAATACAGAATTCTAATTTCTTCTTGGGCGGCCGCACCAAAGGTGAAGCAGCCATACAGACCTCTGGCTGCCAGCCGGGTGAGGGGATCGCATGTGCGGACACCTGGAGCCTAAGCTGAGCTTCTAGCTGCCTAATGGCTACACTTTAGAGCATTCCATCTTGAGGAGAATTAGAACTGCCTCTCCAAATGCCGTATTTACTCAACATCACTAAAATAAAACCTGAATAAAATCATGAAAGAGAGACGGGGAGAGAGCAAGACTGACAGACTGAAGCAAGGGCAGGCTGTGACCAGTCCAGACGCACAAGGACGACAGCACAGGCGAGGGAAAATGCCGTGAAAAACAGCAGCCAGAAGAAAGCTCTAAACTTAATAACTAAAATATTAATTTAAGTAAAATGAATGCACTTTCACTCTGAGACCAGACGAGGCCTCAATAAAAGCACTTCACCAGGACTCAGGAGGGCCTATGACAGCTGACCGAGCAACTGAGGGAAGGGAGGGACATGTGTCCAGCCCAGGACATGCTCCCAGTCCATGGCAGACCAAGTCCAGTGTGGGAGACGCACAGTGAGCCCGACACCCAGCATCTGGCATGGCCGCTGCGCACGTGGGTACCTGATAGCCTTCGGTCTTCTTCTGGCACCACTTCAGCAAGGCGTTCCTCTTGGATCCTCCATATTCTCTTGCCAATGCTGAGAGAGGGTCCTTCCTTTCTTCCCTGGTAAGTGAAATAAGAACCCAAGTTGAAAGTTTTCTCTTTGAGCACCCTTATAAGCCAGAAATCCAGCAAACAGAAGAGGCCTGTGTGGGTTTGCAGCTGAATAGGACAAACGCACACACGGAGGCATCTCCCAGCAGGACAGGTCTTCCTCCGTTTGACTTCACCTGTCAATTTCTACGGGCCCACAGCCCCAGCACTGTCGGGGGCTCTGCCCTCTGCAGGGGGCCTCTACTCACCGTCCACACAGAACTGGCAAAGATTCACTATAGACTGTGCTCACAGTTAATGGGGCGCACCCCAGGTTGCTCAGGGGAGCGTCCTGACACTTCGACTCGGACTTTCATCACACTTAATCCTTTCACGGTCTGTATGTTTAGTTTTATTTTACTCATTTTTGCTTCCAACTTTTATGTCCTTAGTCATTTCATCTTTTTAAAAAATCACTAACTGTAAATACAAAGGACAAAGTTATGCAAGGTAAAGAGTTACAATGCTTAGTTCCTGCCTTCAAAGTACTTATAATTGCGGGAAGCAGATATGACAAAAAGACGGTAATAAACATTTAAAACACCCATAAGAGTTGTCTCAAATGTGTTACTGCTGACCTGTACACTCTTTATTGACTCTAAGTAATTAGCATTTTACCTTGCCTAGAAAATGGGATTTTTCTGTAAACCCACTCACTCATTCGCTCAATACCTCCTCATGAAGTACCACTGGGCCAGGCCCCATGCACATGCTGGTAACAGGCGGTCAGCAACACAGGGCCCCTGCCCTTGAGCAGCTCAGAGTTTACTATGGGATGGACAGACTGCAGAGGCTTGGGGTGGGGGTTGGGGAATCGATGGCTCTGCATAACTCATGTCTTAGAATCACAGGTAGGGTACTCCAGGGCACTGTCAACTGCCTTGTAGACAGAATAAAAATCCTGCCCCAGACCAGACACTGAATCACACTAGGTTCTGTGACCACCTGGTGATGGAGCAGGGGAGGCGGACCAAGTGCTTCCTCCCAGCAACTACCAGGAGACCAGAACCCCGAGGAGCGCCTGGAGAGAGCACCCTGTCAAACGACTTGCCCCTCAACCAGCAGTACACTCTTAAAAGCGTGGTCTAATTTTTAGTGACCGTTTTACAAGGCAAGTGGAGACTGCGGCCCCTGCGCCGCCAGCTGAGCCGCCCACCCGCTGCCCTGGAGGCCACGACGTCACAAGCGGCTTCGGGCTCCTCGCACGCCCATCCCGTCTGTCTTCCCCGCCCAGTACGTCAGGGAGGCAGAGAGCACACGTGCAGAACCGAAGCTTTTCCACTGGAGAGTTGCGCTGAAATAGCACCAATTTTCACCTATCTTAGAACCAAAAGTAAAACATGAAAAAATCTCAACTGCCTTGAAGAAACACACTTTTATGTCTGTGTGCCAGCCCGCCAGATTCCTGCTTTGGTTTAAAGGGTTCGAGGAAGTTTGTTATAACAATAACACCACTGAACACAGGAAATGAGAATGAAGATAAAGGTAAGATGTGTGAATGAAAGCAAAAGGGCAAGCCAAAAATAACCCACTCCATCAAGCTCAAAGCACAAGGAACTACTAGTCACCGTGAAAGGTTTTATCTGGTTTACACAGGGGCCGTTTTGTTATAAAAGCAGCTTCAACAGCAGCAGGGAAGAGTAAATCCTACAGACCCAACAGGCCGAGAAGAGGGCCCCTGGAGCTGAAGGGGTGAGGACTGCAGGACGAGGAGGCTGAGGCCAGCAGATGCCTTGCTGGGGGTCACAGCTTCCAAGTAGGGGGCTGGGAAGAGAGGAGACCCTTCCCGCGGGCAGCCTGTGGCCTCGGACTCATGGACGAGCTAGGGCAGGATCGGGCCCACGTCAGGCTCCTCACTGCGCGCCCCGGCCGGCCTGACAGGCATGGCCTGTGGGCCACTCTCCTAAGAGGTCGGTCCCCTCAAGGCAGGGCTTTAAAAGTATAGATAATCTGAGCTTGAGAGACCAAATCTTCTACTTTATCCTCAGACCTGAGAGTCAGTATACAGCAAGGTTCTGAAACCTGTTCCTTTACCCTTCCCTGAATCCTCTGAACAGTCACTGGAGACACTGACCTTGGCAGAAACACCCCTCCCTCCCCACCCGCAACCTACGAGGCCCCGTCCCCTGCACGCCGCCCACACCCAGGATTCCAGGGTCACTACACTTCCTTTTGTACTCAGCTGTTCCCTAATGCAGAAAACCAAAACCAAGCAAACCCACAAAGAAACAAAAACAAAACCACCCGCTGCCTGGGGGAAATAACTCCCTCCTGTACTTTGTTTCACTGTTTCACTTTTGCGTCATGTTTCCCAGTACTGGGCACAGAAGACCAGATCAGAAAACATCTAATAACACACAAAGAAAGAAACGGACCAGTGCTCGAATGCCATCACTTCACAAGCTGACCACGCGCGTCGGAGGCCGGGAGCCACGCGGGGAGCACCAGCACTAACTGCTCCCTACCTTATGCGGCTCCGGGCGGTGGGGGTCACGGAGGCCGTGGGGGAGGAGGAGAGGGACAGCTGTGGTGACGTGGCTCCCATGGCCATGAGCGAGGCCGGTGATGCGCCCTCGGCTGCAGACATGTCTCGTTTCATCTCTTCGCTGCTTCGTCGAGACACTGATGGCGACAAATGGTCATTACGCATTTTATAGCAAAAACGTTTTAAATTGAGTTCTTGAGATACCTTCTTCAGTGGAGAAATTACATACAGGAGGAAAAACTAACATTAAGGATTTCTTATTTCCTTTGTTAAAAGCGCTGTAGAAAAGGTACAGCCGTTGGAACAGGGAAGCCCGTGCGCCCCGAGGGCAGGCAGTGTGTCTGATCCACTCTGCACACTCCTGGTGCCCTCAGGGCACACGTGAGCACCCACAAACACGACCCAAACAAAGGGCAAGGAGAGCACCACCTGCAGCTACATAGGCTCGACTAAAACCAGCACAGCCCCTCCGAACCCGGCCACAGCACTGCCGAAGGGATAGAAAGGAAAGGGACACTGAATTACAGGGCTCTGCTTAATTCTGGGTTAAGCCACGTTTTCAAAAACATGAATCAAAGAGACAGAAAAGCAAAAGGTATCATGTCAAGTCAACTACTGAGAGATAAGAACCACCAGGAGGGTCCAACGTTCAAAGTCCGGTGGAGAAAGACACTGCACCTGGCTGGAATTACACAAAGTCCTGGGAACTGTGAGGTAGAAGCAGACACTTCAGCCGTCAATAATGTAGCGGCTTCTAGCCTGATGCGCTGAGGATGAGCAGGTCCTCAGGGTGCTGAGCTGAGCCCGGTGAGACATGAGATGTGAGACCAAGTTCCTGACCTCAGACAAGTTTTCTCTCACCTCGGGGACTGTGATCTGTATCACCCTGGGCTGGTGGGAACACACTCAATGTCACAGACCAGTAATCTTCCCTGATGCCTGGAACTGACCCTTTAATGCTAAAATTCTCTTGATCATTTCAGGATAGCCACAGACAGACTACTTACTACTCTGTAACAGTTAAGTGACGTCTTTAAAGATCCAGGAGACAGACGCTTTCTCCAACTGCACGATCTTACTAGAATGATGCACTCCCATATTCCTGACATAATTTTATAATTATTCTGGTTTTTTCTGTCCATGTAAGATCTCTGCATGCCTTGAATAAGCAGTTCCTTTTTAAGTGGTGTGCTAGGAAACTAAATGAGAACACCTTTCATAATTTTAAATAAAACAGAGGAAACAGACTGAGAAAGAACTGGAAGAACTCTGTTCGAGGAAGAGGCTCTGGATCTAGGCTTTGGGCTGTAATTTTGGCTGGACTTCCCACTGGTTTAAAGACCCAGCTAAGAAGTATGACCACTGCACTAACTAAATCCTGTACAAGCGGGGCATCAACCACATGAGGCAGAGCTGTAGGAGTCTCTCCTCTCCTGGTCCAGTGTCTAAGGAGAAAGAAAGGAGGATGTTAACATGAACTGATAAACCAAAGTGTTAGCTCTAGGAGGCCAACAAAGGAGGCCAGTCAAACCTACCACTGACGGGGGGGCTTTGTCACACTGAAAAAATCTGGCTTCCAGAGAATTTTTGGTTTGCTCTGAAACAACTCTTCAAAACCCATCATGACACATCTTGGGATAAATACCCTAACCTTTCAGAACCAAATCAACTCTGTATGAAGCTGTATTTTCAGCACACCTTCTAACCCACTCTAGGCACTTAATGGACACTTGTTAAGTGAATGGAACTACCTAGTTCTTGTTTTTTATTTTTAAAATCAAGGCCATGAAATGTGATTTCTATAGAATCTGGAAGGTACCATAGGGGAAATTCAGAGTAAAAAACAACCAACTCAAGAACAAAAGAGGCAAGTGATGCTATAAATAAGTCTAAAGAGAAAGTACTCAGTACCATTACCAAAACTTCTTTTTAAAGGAAATTCCAGGTAAAAGGTGTTACCTGAGATGGTCTTGGCACTTTCCATGGCAGGTACTCTGGGCAGAGAAGCAGGTCGGCTGGTTGAAGACGTTCTGAGTAGATGCTCTGCACAGAGTGGAAAGATTCACAGTAAAGAGCCCCACCCCAGAACCTGAAGGAGCAAGGGCAGCAGGGTGGTGAGTTTCACGCCCCTCGTCCTTGAGGCTCCCCCCTCACTCCCAGCCTGGGGGCCTGGGAGCTCCACGGTTCCCCAGGGAGTCCGTACACAGAACAGCTCCACAGACAAGGAACACGGGAAAGCGTCCGTTCAGTTTTCACTTCTAGAGATGAGACATTCAACACAGCTGAACGCTTCTAAACAACCAACTGCTACTTACCTCTGATGCAATTCAACCCAAACTCAAAGATCCCCTGCTATACCTATACCTGGGTCTAAAAGCACAAGCTAAATAAAAGCCTCGCGCCTGTGTGCCTGGAGCTAGTAGGGAAGTTACGCGCACACAACCAGACAAGTCGGGGGGATGCCGGAATAGCAGGATGATAAGCGCCGTCAGACCAGAGGGGGCAGCCATCACCTCCCCTCAGGCAGCGGGGAGCCTTTGCCGCGTAAGGACATGAACTGTCAGATGCAGGCCTGGCTGCCGGGGAAGAGGGGTGGGAGCAGCGTCTGAGCCAGGCAGTGATCAGAGGTACAAGGACATTCAATTTAGGGACAGTAAATGAGGGGCCTGCGGAGAACAGAGGGCGGCAGGAGACAGGCTGCTCCCAGGCGAGTGGGCTCCGGTCTGAGGGCAACGTGGAAGTGGCCGTCGTTTCCAAACCTTCGGGAAGGACAGGAGGACACCGCCGCTGCCACTAAGTGTGTGGCCCCACCTGCGGAGCTCCTCCTTGCTCCCAAGCCATCTTGGGAGACCCTGCAGTGCCATGAACACTGGCCGGCTGCCCACTGCCGCCTCCGTCGCCCTCTGCCCGGCCACCCCCGCAGCCTTGAGTCCTCCCTCCAACATCGCGTCCTCAGCACCTGCTCCCCACAGTGGGAGCCCCGAACATAGACCAGCACCCCCACCTCGGGCTCCAACCCCAGCGAGGCTGCCATCGGGCCAGGACGACATGTGCCAGGATGGGCAGACGAGTCCTGCCTGCTGGGTGTTCGCAGTGTGTGATGGTGTCACGCTTCCTGGGGACAAGGCTCACTGTCCGAGACCGTCCCCACTGCAAACACACACCGACAGGGAGAGGCAAGCCTGACCTACAACCATCAAACAGCCTGTCAGCACTTCTTTTCAAGAAGTGGCAATTTAAAAAATACTCCCTCTCAAAATATCACGATGTCAAAAGTGACGTCACATGATGGCACCTTTCAAGGATAGCACACCCATCATTCCAAAATTTACTTTCCAGGCATGAGGAGCGCATAGCACTTTGGCAGGGAAGGCAGTGGAAAGATGAGCTTATTTCTGAACGAAGACAGGACTCCCGTGGCCCAGAGCCGCTGCACCTCCCTTGTCCTGAATCACCACCACCTCGGGGCAGAGCCTACCAGCGGGCTGCGGTCAGAATCCTGGACCCTGTTGTGGCCGGCGAGTGCCCTCCCAGGAGGAGCGCCCTGTGCACAAAGTCTGACAGACAAAGCCAAGTTCATGGAACATGGAAATAGTAGGAAACAGATATCACCTTTTAAAATTTAATCAAAACGCCTACTTCATGGTTATGAAACCAGTCATTTCCCAAAAACCTTCATCTCTCAAGGAACACAGCAAGCAGAGAAAGAAGGAAGAAAGGTTACAAGACAGAGGACTGGGACAAGGAGTGTGAAGGCCGAGGCAAGCAGCGGGCGGGGGGTGGGGTGGCGAGGGCGGCAGCCGCTGCATCTCCCCCGACCCTGCAGGCACACGACGACGAAGCATGTTTACAACGCGACTGCGAGTGTCTGCCCAGCCCAGGCCAGCCTTGCTCTCACTGCATGTCCAAGGGTCCAAGTCCGTCTCACTCTGTGGACAGTCCCTGGCACAGGCCACTAGCTCCTTCCTGAAGATGTACAGAAAGGCCCTGAAAGCCCCCACAGCTCTTCATGGCGGAATTGCTGGGCAAGTCTCTTTGGGCACAGCACAGCCCGCTGTGGCTCAGGCACCTGGCGAGCAGGGGAAGGCACCCACTCCACCGCACGGTGGCTGGACCACAACCTTACATCCAACCGCCGTGTCCCTTTTCGGGAAACAAGTCAACATGACAGCTGAGCACAGCAGGGAGGAGATCAGACATTGCAGTGATCGGTCTGCTCTGCTGCCTTAGGGCACAGTTCTTGTCTGTAATTCATTCATGAAACAAAAACCTCCTGGGTGTCTGCTACTTGCCAGGCACTGGGTGTGATGCAAAGGTCAGAGAAAGGGAAAAAGAGGCAGGAACTTGCCCTCGTGGAAGTTGGAGTCTGGAGCGGAAGCCAGACATTCAAAACATCACCGCGAGTGAGGGAAGCAGGACAGACCGGTACCAGGGGCTCAGGGAATACAGCGGGGACGTGACCTGCTCTGGAGAGGAGGGCCGGAAAGTCCTCCTCGGGAAACGGCATCTCGGTTACGACTAGCAGGATAATTAATAGGTTTCCTACAGGCAAAGCAGAGTGCGTTCCCAGCGGGATGCTCAGCAGACACCAAAAGAGACGGAAGGCAGCAGTGCTGCACACAGAGGGGCGGCTAGGAGGCCCAGGCCGGGCCTGAGGCTGTGGACTCCACCTGCTGGCAACGCGGAACCAAGGAAGGCTTCCTTAGATGGACATCCGTCCGGCTGCCGGGGGCCGGAGGGTAACAGTGCAGGCAGGGTGAGGGGTTCAACTACAGAGCAGAGAGAAGGGTGGTCTGGACTGGGGTGGTAGCAGAGGAGATGCGAGAGGAACACAGACCGGAGGGTTCCTCAATGAGGCGGGATCACGAGACTTGTTGGCACCTGGATGTGGAGGAAGAGGAGGGCAGCTCCATGTGCAGAGGTGACAAAGGGAAGAGCACTATGGGAGGAAGAGGTGAGGACACACGGAATGTGAGAACCCTATGAGGTACCTGGGGAAGGATGTGGACGGAGCAGACAGAGGAAGTGCAGATACGAAGTCAGCGAATATATGTAGTTCTGGAAATAATCAACATGCAGCTGATGAGATGAGAATGAACCAGTGCCACGCAAGTCCTGAGTAACTTCATATCCTGTGGGTACAAAAGTGAGGTGAGACCTTGGAGAAGCGAGTGGGACACAAGCTGGGAAGGGCAGGAGATAGGGTGCAGGAGCCACAGGAGAAGGGGAGACACTTCTTCTCCACGGGGGAGACAGGGGAGACGGGAGAGATGGGGGGGGTCATTTTCAGATGATGGGAGGGAGCAGGCAGAGAGGGTCAAGCCAAAGACCCAGGAGGATAAGAGGAGAGCGCGAGGCTAAAGCATCTGTGCAGGCCGGGGGACGAGACCAGGGCTCGGAGAAAGGGAGAAACCACAAAGGCATACTGCTTGCTCCGGACGGGCAGGCCACGGTAACACAAGCACACCAGGCCGGCCACTTCTGTCTCTCACTGGAGAAATCATAGAAATAAACAGGTATGGGCACTTGTCCTTTTATTGTTTCCCAAATCAAATTTACAGGCAAAACAGTGGTTTATAAACAGGAGCCTAAATAGCCAACTTCTGTTCACAGAGGAATAGCTCCAAATGGGCCAATGTTCCTGCTGAAAACAACTATAAAATCTTGGGAAAATATGAAGATCAACTACTTAAAGGCACTGAAGAGAAACCAAGAGAAGAAAGAAAAAGAAAGGCGCCTATACTTGGAAGAAGGAAACAGCGCTGGGTGAGTTCCCCAGGTTTATGGCTGTGGGCCGAGTGCAGGCCCCCGGGGAGGCCGTGCAGGGCAGCTAGGGTTTGGTAGCCAGCCCATGGCCTTACCGCCTTGAAGAAGCAGAGGAGGTAACTCGGGACAACCAAAGCTGCCGGAAAGCGAAGGGAGGGGGGAAGTCCTAGAAAGGACGGAGTCATGAATCCTGTATATAAATCTGCCCAAATCTCACTGGCCCCTGAAATCCAGAAGCACTCAGATTCCAAGGAGCTGCATTAAGGAAAAATAACAAAACAGCTATTTCAACTGAAGGAAAGAGACTGGAGTGTGAAGTGAGCCAAATTAACTGCTTATTAACAAAAACTAAGCTTCTGTGGAGGAACAAGATAGAATTCAGAATTCACACAGCTCAGGATACAATCTAAAATTACAAGACATACAAATAAACAGGAAGAATTGACTCACACTCAAGAGAAATGGAAACCTTACCCAAAGATGACTTATATGTTAGGGTTAGCAGAAAAGAATTCTAAAGCAGCTATGACAAATATCTCAACATTATAAAGGAAAATATGTTCTCAACTAATGAACAAATTGGAAACCTCAGCAGAAACAGCTAAGAGAGTATAAGGTGTGCCCTCCTTGAGATGCAAGGCACAGGACAGCCTAAAGCTGAAACTGGAGGAGACACGAGAAAAATCCTCTGGAACCTCCACCCCACTCTGAACACACTGTATTTATGGCACAAGTGTAAGCCTGCTGTGCACTGAGGACATCGCAGCAACAACCAAACTCAGCCCAGCTCCTGAGTAGATTAACTCAAAATCCCACATTTAGCAGAAGGAAAGAGGTGCCCATGTCAAGGCATAAAACCACTCTACTGTTCTACACATGATGTCCAACTTCCAACAAAGAATTATAAAATATACAAAAAACAAGAAAAAAATCAATACCTCCAGCTCACTACATCAAGACACAAAGCAATCAACCAACCAGACACAGATGCAGCACAGACGCTGGAACTATCTGATGGAGCATTTAAAGTAACTATGATTTCTAAGTAAAGTCAGCCAGAAAGAAAGAAAAACACCATATGATATCACTCATATGTGGAATCTAAAAAAAAGAAAGAGAAAAGAGAACACTAATGAACTCATCTACAAAAGAAACAGACTTGCAGACACAGTCAACAATGTTACAGTTACTGGGGAAAGCGGGTAGGAAGGGATAAATTTGGGAATTTGAAATTTGCAAATGTTAACCACTATGTAAAAATAGATAAAAAACAAATTTCCTGTGTACAGCACAGGGAACTATATTCAATATCTTGTAATAACCTTTAACGAAAAAGAATATGAAAATGAATATACGTATATGTATGCATGACTGGGACATTGTGCTTAACACCCCAAAATGACACATTGTAACTGACACATTACAATTTTTAATTTTTAAAAATTAAAAAAATTAATAAAATAACTATAATTAATATGTTAAAGCTTCTGGTGGAAATAGCAGACAACATGCAACAGCTAGAATTTTCTATTTGAGTCTCACTTATAGTTTCCATCTCTCTGCTGACATTAGACAAATAAAACTGTGAGAACCAAATCTCTGGTTCTCAACTGAGGCAATTTGGCCAATATACCAATGTCCTGAGGCATTTCTGGCTGCTACAACTAGGGGGCTGGATGCGGCTGGAACCCTGGAGGGGGCTTACCATCTAGTGGGCAGAGGCCAGGGATGCTACCAAACATCCTACCACACACAGAACGGAGAATGGATTTTACTGCATGTAATTCTTTTTATCAGCCGGTATTGGGGGTGGGGGGATAAGATGCACACTGCAACAAAACTAACCTAACTGTACCACAAGAGCACGACATAGCCACCCCAAGAGGGCGTGAGAAAGGGAGCAGACCTAAGTAACCTTGAGAAGAAAGGTGCTTTGGCTGGATACTCTCAGGCTAAACACAAAAAAAGAACTGTCTGCAAACACAGCTCTGGTAAATTTGCTTCTCACAGGGCACGGTTTAGCAGTCCTGGAGCTACTGGACATGCGTACCTGGGGCCATCAAGTTAAGTAAATACGCTGCAGATAACGAGAGCTAGGTTTCTCACTGTCAGGAGAAAGAAGTCACAAATGAGGAAAGGGAGAAGGCCAGATGCACACTCAGGTGCAGTCTGGAGTCAGAGGCATCAGTATAAATGCACGATTTCTGACAGACAGACAGACAGACAGACAGAGAACAGTCACAGGTGTGTATGCAGGGGCTGGTACACCTACTTACAGACTCCCTAGCTCTGTCCAGAGGGGAACTGCAGGCAGCGAGCATCACTGGCACCCAGATCTTACTTTCTAAGTGCCCTCAATTCCACAGCTGGTGCAGGAAAACCAAGTCTGGGTCATCTGAGGTGTGCAAAGTGAGAAAGCGCTTTGGAGCTTGGGGTGGGACTTGGGGCCAGGGGAGTAGAGAAAAGAGGAAAGAGCTCCCAATGGCCAAAGTTGAAATAATATGAACAACAGAATAAATAACAGTAATGGACTATAACCCACAGAACAAAATAAATACCCATGGGTCTATACTAATACAAATAACTATAAATATAACAATAAATATAATAACGTAATATACATAATTCCTTACAGGAAGATGAGGAAACAGAAAATCACCGCCAGAACATGGTAATAACTGCTGCAGGCAAAATATACAGCAGACGCTAAAATCAGCAGGAGGAAGTTTAAGCAGAAATAGGATATTTATTACTTACCAGCAGACAACCACTGCAACCAACGATCAAGGTCACGTTACAGTTACACGTGCCCCTGATGTGGTGGCGCGCCAAGAAGGGGCACCCTTCCCGACAGTACAGAACCTCAGCATGACACACCCAAACTGACAACCTGCTGCAGACTGGTGAGACCTGAGGAGGTGAGAAACTAAATGCAAACCGGGATCCTGAGTTTGCTGTGCAACAGGAAAGGGACATCAGTGGAACAAGGGGTGAGATCCAAAGCCTGGTTAGTTCCTGACACTCTGACCACACTGCCTGTGGTCACGCAGGTGTTCACGTAAGGGAAGCTGGGTGAAGGGTTTACGAGAACTTTCTCTCAAATTTTTATAACTCTTCTCTAAGCCTAAACTTATCTCAAAAGAAAGAGTTTAAAGACAGAGAGAGCACCTTAAACAAACAGTGCAGTGCCTACTCACCACAACAAGGTACTAATGCAACTTACTTTGAAGTGCATTAAAAAAAAAAGATGAACTGAAGGAAGGGTAGGTGGATGGGCAAATACATGATAAAGTAACTGCAGCAAAGTGCCAGTGAATCTAGGAAGAGGGCTGTGGATATTCACTACACAACGTCTTTCAATTTTTCTGATGCTTGAAATTTTTCATAATAATATGTTGGGAAAAACAAAGGAGGCCAGACAGTTTAGTTTATCAAGACAAATAAACACCAGGAACCACAGGCAAGAGAAGGAAGGTGGGCAGGGACATCTATTAAACTGTAAATACAAAAGGGTAGGATTTCTATCTGAATTTCTCCCTGGAATTTCCCAGCTAGGGCAGGATCAGAATCTGATTTAGATCTACTCTTTGGAGAATAACATTGCTGTGAGACTTTTTAATACAAAGTTCTTTTCCTTCCAGCTTAAAAGTAAAGAGAGAACTTTTAACAAAGATTTGGCTTTCTGGTAAAACCTCCTAACTTCGTATCACATTTATTAAATATACCTTTACCATAAATCAATTTTTTTCAAAATACTGAATTTTTAAAAATTTTCACATGTCTATTCTCAAGTAATACAATCAGACAGATGATAACAGCATGCATTTCTTTAAGGAACGTGACTGTACTTGGACTAATCAGCTTCCTCAGATACCTGTACGTCTCAACTGATGACACTAGTGTGACTCACCCAAGGTCACGTGGATGCTGGGCAACCCCGGCTCCCCAACCATCAGCACCGTCCGGCCAAGGTCTCTGCTTAATCCCGGACCTTTAAGATCACAGTGCAGGTGGGGGCCGTGCAGACCCTCCCAACTATTGGTACCCACATCCCCGGCAGCAGACCCACCCTCCACTGCTCAGGCTGCAAACACAGGCTCACATCTCTCTACAGAGATTCAGTGAAGTAGCACAGCACCTGTCACAACACAGACTGCCAACGCTAACAACGGATTAGCCCATTTATATGATAAGATCTCTGGTTTAAAACACTTTCCTGCAAGTGATCTACAAGCATGGTGAAAAACAGAACCAAAAAAACAGAACTTCTATAAAATATTTAACTGGAAGATACAACGAATTCTCTAAGTCAGTAGAACAAGCAGCAGCACCTTTCAATTGTTCAGTAAGGAAGCCACTGAAACTTTCAAACTGAAAATGACAGATTGTGTTTTTTGATTTACGCCAAGACAAAAGAGACAACTAAGAAAGAAAAGCAGTTAACTCAGCGCTCAGACTCCTACTGTATCAATCACAGTTTGGATAACCACTGTGGCTTTTTATGACCAAGAACCATTCGGTTGCTCTCAGTTTTCTAAGTGTTTCCTTCCCTAGTGATGGTTTACAGTGAAAGATCACACTCTCAGCAATTCTCGGATAAAATTCACCCACGTGTGTTTCCCTCTCTCCTGTTTTTGCAGCTCTCACTAAACCTGGTTAAGAGTCGTGACAGCAGAAGGCGAGACTGAGACCAGCCTTCACACGGCCTCCCGTTCTCATGGTTTGTCATCAGGAGCCCCACGACTCCAGGTGATGCGGGGGCCTTGGAACAAAGCAGACACGAGTCCCCGACCTCGAGAGCTCCCCTCCGGGGCGCAGGCAGTAAGCCAAGGTAAGTGAGCCACACCGAGTGGCCAGAAGGTAAGTGCTAAGGGTAAAAAAAAGTTAAGGGGAGAGAGATGAGCGAAAAGGTGTGGAGGACAGCATGTGGTTCACCACTTTCAGCACAGCCTCAGGGCCTTACGGCCTCACGGATGTGAGATCTGAGCAGCCTTGAAGGCGGGCGAGACATCCAGGAGAGTGTGGCAGCAGAGAAGAGTTCAGCTCGAGGTTCCAGGTCAGGAGTGTACCTGGCTGCCCAGGGGACAGCAAGGAAGCCTGAATGGCCAGGCAGAGTGACCAAGAGAAAAAAGGGATGAAGCCAGGCTGGAGGGTCTGGAGGCCACTAAGAGAAAGCCAGCAGAACCTGGAAAGAGGGAGCTGGCCAAGGGCTGGGAGTGGGACGACAGTTCCACCTTACGTCCTTTAAGACCAGGCTGCCTGGAGGGTCAAGGGTAGACTGCAAGGGGCATTAGAAACCTTCTGCCAGAATCCAGGTGGGAGCAGTGGTGGCTCAGACCCAGGAGGTGGTAGGAGAGGGAGGGCAAGGCCCTGGTTCTGGGTGGACTTGAAAGCAGAGCCAGCAGGGTTTCCTAAAGAGCTGAACAGGTCCCAGGAATGGGGTCTGAGATAAAGAAGGGAGGAAGGAGCCTCCAAAGTTTCTGGAGGATGAAACTGTCATTAACTGAGGCAGGGAAGACAGGCTACAGGTAGATGGAGCCTGGGAAATGAGAGAATCCTGTCCCAGACAAACTCAGTCTGAGGGTCTCCAGTATCGAACTGGAGCTGTCACACAGGAATTGGATACACAGTGTCAAGTCCAAAGGAACAGGATGCAGACATCAACTGAGGGATAGTAATCACAGCCCCGAAACAGGACGAAGAGAGAGTGAGCGCGGACAGACAAGAGAGGCCCATGGACACTCCACCACTCACAAGAGACGGAGGAGGAAAAGCAAGAGTGTGTGTGAAGGACCAAAAAGAGCACCCGGAGGAGGGAGGGATCAGCAGGACCTGGGAGGTGGGCAGCTGGGGCACCACGCCACCCACAACCTCGACGACAGCGGCCATGGTAGCCAGTGAGGGTGGAGCCTGCGGCGGGTGTGAGAGCCTGGGGAGCGTGAGAGCCCTGAGCCAGGTGCTCACGATCATCCCCGAGTCAGACAAAGAACAGCATCAGAGAGGCCGACAGTCCACACGCGAAGGCCGACGACCTCCACGCACACATACGAATCCCGGTGGATTCCCCGGGGCGGCGGGGGAACGTGGTAAAGATGTAAACCGTCCACGCTGTTTCCTCAGCAAGAGGACCCACTGAGGGGAGAAGAGACCTCAGGTCACGGCTGACGAGTGACCCGGCAGCTGAAGCGGGGTGGAGGCAGGTCTGTGCAGGGCCAGCGGCAGCACCACCACCCTGGGGTCCGCTGTCCCCCCAGGGTGCACAACCAGCTTCCCACGTCCCGGGCTCGCGGTGGGGCGCCAGGTCCACTGTCACCTGAATCTCTCCTGCCTGGCGCTCCCTGAGGCCCACGAAGCCAGCCCTCAAGCTTCCTTAAGGGAACACTTCCCCCAAGTCTGCTAATTCCTCTCCACACCTGTCAAAACCGAAACCTGTGGTCTCAGCCCCAGAGCCTGACTCCCACACCAGGAGCGCGTGCAGGGGCTGGGTCCGCCCCGCCGAGAGGGGCCTGGCTCCCGAGGGTGCACACAGGGCCCAGCGTCTCCACACCCATCCCAGCGAAGCCGCCTTTCCCGGAATCAGGCCTGACTCCCACATCCATTCTTCCAAAGTGCTTCAGCACCATATGGAGGAGGCAGTGGTGTAGGAGACGGACCCCCGTCCTCGAAAGGCAGGAGACCTGAACTCTGGGGCTGCGTGGAAATGGGCACTCGCTGGACCTCAGCTTCAGGGTCTCGAGTCCCTCTTACAAGCAGCACAGAGATCAGAACAGTGGGCTTGGGAGCCAGGCTGTCCCTCTGTACTGCACATTAACCACGTTACCCTGTGCTCATGAGCTACCCGACTTCCTGAAGCCTCACTTTTGGCATCTGTAAAACGGGACAACAAACCCCATGAAGAACAATGAGAGCGCAGTGCCCAGCACCGGCGCGTGCTCACCCCCCACCACGACGTACAAGTTGTCTTCCAAGACGCGTCTATCAGTGACTGATCTCCATCTGTAGTTAAGACATGACACTAGTAAACTTCTGATAAAGAAGTACACTAGACTGGTAGAAGTAACGTCAAGAACAAAAACGCCCAACAAGTTGGTTGGTCAAACAGTCAGAAAAATAAAAAATGAACCAGCAAAGTGAAACCCATGGGATGTACCTTGAACAGGGATTTCCCCATAGTTTGGTCTCTTATCTGCCAGGGCCGCCAGGGGTTTGGACGTGGAGATGGGTCCGCTTATGGAATGTCTCTGAAATCAGAAGGCAAAGGTGTTCAAGTTAGCCTGCACATGGACCTGGCCTCTCAAAGAGACTAAACGCTGCCGGAGTAAATATTTAGTTTCGAATTTGCATAGTTCCTTCCACACTGTCACAGTAAGACTGAAACACACACTCCTAGGGGCATCCGTGACCAGTATACTGTTTTAAAAATGAATACAGAGGGATCCCACCTGCCCCTCACTCACCAGTTAGCAAAAGTCGGTCGTGCTCCTGTGGGGCCGCTCGTGCCCTGGTTCCAAGCGGATCTCACTCCTGTCACCCACTCACCAGCTTCCCCCTCACCACTGCCCAGGTGCAAACCTGTCATCCCAACTCAGCCCCCAGCCTCCTCAGCTCTGTCCCACACACGCAGCCACAGGTGCCCAGACACCCAAACCCTCTCCATTCTCCTGCTCTGCTTCCCGCACCTTGACAGGCTCCCAGCACGGCACCTGCTCAGGCCTCCTTCCTCGCTCCCCGGCCCTTCACCCCGCTGACCTCTGACTCCCCATTTCACTCCCCGCAGAGCCTGTGAGCCGCTGGCTTCTCCACATCCTACCAACACTGGGTATCAGGAGTCTTAGTCTTGGTCACCCCGAGGGGTGTGCACTGGGATCTCGCTGTGAACTCAGCTTTCATTTCCCTGATGACTGACGCTGTTGAGATCTTTTCACCTGTGTACTGGCCATTTGTGTCATCCTCTCTCAGGAAGGGACTTTTCAGATCTTTTGTCCATTACTTACTGGGCTATCTTCAACCAAGAAGACAAACAAGTCTTCTCTGAGTGCCAGTCTTTTGACAGATGAATGAATTACACGTATATTCTCCCTAGTCTTTCATTTCCTTATTGGGAAGTTTCTTTCAGAGAATTTTCAAATTTTGATGCCCAATTTATTAATTTTCTTTTATAGTTCCTCCTTTTCTGTGTCCTAAGTAAGAAATCTTTGCCCTGTTGAAGTAATGGAGATTTTCTTCATGTCTTCATGTAGAAGTTCTGACGTTTCAGCATTTATACTTAAGTCTATAGTCATTTTCAGTTTTCATAAATGCCAGGAGGTGAGGGTTGTGGTTATTTCTTTTTCCATTCGGGTATCTATTTGCCTCGGAATCCTTTGTTGAAAAGGTTATCCCTCTCCCACTGAATTACCCTGACATCTTTGTTGAAAAATCACTTGCCCTGTTTCTGGATTCTCTATTCGACTGATCTAATGTGTACATTTAAACTGGTATCAGTACCACACTGCCTGGGTTACTCTAAGTACTATAATCAGGGACTGTAAGTCTTATAAATTTGTCTCTTTTTTCCCCAGATGCTTTGGATATTCACGGTCTTTTGAATTTCCATATAAATTTTAAATTATACTATCAATTTCTACCAAATAGCATGCTGGGATTGTAAGCAGGCCGTGTATCCTTCCATTTATTACTGTTTAACTTCTCTCAGCGTGACTGTACAGTTTTCATTGTAAGGTTGTGCACTGTACTTTATTAAACGTATTGCCAAGTATTTCAATGTCCAGTTGCTCACTGGACTGGCTGAGCCTAAGAGACAGCAGGAGGGTGCTCAGATGGAAGCGAGTCTGCCATGACCTCATCCTGTAAGTGACACATTGTCACTCCTGCCACACTCTATGCATCAGAGAGAGTCACCAACTCCAGCCACCCCTCAGGAGGACTGAGTGCAGCTGCAGCAGAGCCCGGGTAAAGCCAGCGAAGAGCTGCCCAGGCAACCCAGAGAAACGGGAAAACCTGGGAAACTACTGTTTTAAGCTACTCGTTTTGAAGTGACTTACTGTGTAGCAGGGGCCGAGATGTGCCAACTACACAGCTGGACCTTAAACAACATGGTTTGAGCAGCGCGAGTCCACAATTACGCGCATGTTTTCAGCAGTAAATATTACAGCACTGCTCGACCCGCAGATGGGAACCCGCAGGTGTGGGACATCGATGTGGAATCACAGGTGCGGAGGGCTGACTGTAACTTGCTGGTGGCTTTTCGTCCATGCAGAGGGTCGGTGCCCCGACCCCCACGCTGTTCAAGGGGCAACTGTACATGCTACTTAGGGACGTGTCTTAGTGCAGCGGTTAAAAGCATGGTCTCTGAAGCCACACTGTCCAGGCTTGAATCCAGCTCTACCACTTCTTAGCTGTACGCCCCTCAGCGAGCTGTCAACCGTTCTGGGTGTCATTCTCCACATGTGAAAGGTAGGGGTAACAGTCCCAGCACCCAGTAGAGCAGCTGTGAGGAGGGAAGGAGTTAACATTACGAAGCATGTGGAACCGCGCAGCACGTGCTCAACAGTCTATCACTGTGCTTAGAGATTTTCAGAAGAATAACACAATGGACAGCAATATAATTTCCCTTAAATACTCCTCACAGCATCTTAGGGAAACAATCCCAACTACATCCCTCAAGAAGCAGTCACTCGCCCCCTGACGTGGCGTAAGTGACTCTGAAAAGAACTAGCTTGCAATGCCGAGGCCCCCGACCCCCGCGGTCACGGCCTTACCTGCATAGGGGAGACGGCGGCTGCAGGGGGCGTTTTCATAGGACTTGGACTCAGAGGCGTCCGAGGAATGGCAGCTGCAGTCGGGCTGGGCACTGGGAGAAAAACAGAGGTGTGACGAATGCGTCGTGGTGCAGGGGAGGCTTTTCCAGCTGCTCTGCCCTAAGGGTTCACCTGAGTAACCAGCGCTCATGCTCCCTGGAAGATGGCCCTACTGACGCCTCACCTCCGCTGAACACTCCCGGCCGGCAGGGGGCGCTGTGCTTCCCTGGCTACACCATTCACTGCACTTCTGCTGTTTAATTAGCTACTCGGTTAACATGCTCCATAAAGCAAGGAAATCCAAGTTCCCTGTGTACTAAATGAAGGCAGGCTGGGCTGTGCTCACCTCTCCTCACCTCCCCCTGCAGGGCTCACCACATCCCTTCACATGAACTTCCCATCTAACACACGGATGTGCGGACACCCGCTCACACGTCAGTGTCCCTCTCTGGACTGAACTGTTCAAAACTAGGATCCGTGATTTATTCACTTCTAGCTACCTGGGCTTAGCACAGCTCCTGGTAGCCGGTCCATAAAAAAGGTTATTCGTCCGAAGCAAAATTAAAACCAAAGCGAGACACCCCAGTGAGATGAGGCCCACCGCGCAGAGGGGCAGGACGAGCAGGTCTGTGCGGAGGCTCCCGTGCACCAAGTTCTCAGACATAAAACTACTATTTTTCAGACGCATTTTTTGATTGAGATAAAACTCACATAATATGAAGTTAACCATCTTTTAAATGCACAGTTCAATTAGTACATTAGTAACATGGTGCCACTGTCACCACCACTGTCTAGTGCCAGAACGCTTTCATCACCCAAAAGGAAACCCAGTACCTCTGCAAGCAGTCACCCCCATCTACCCTGCCCCGGCCCCTGGCAAACATCACACTGCCTTCTCTCTACGGATTTACCTACTCTGCACATTCCACGTAAGTGGAACCTTACAACACGCAGCCTTCAGTGCCTGCTTTCTCGGCCAGCCTGTGCTCGACGTTTCCCCGCAAGGCAGCGTGTGGCAGTACTCCATTCCTTCCCGCAGCTGAGCGCCACGGACAGACCACACTCAGCTAATGGACACTGGGGCTCCCCACATTTTGGCTACTGTGAACAGTGCTGCGATGAACACAGGTGTACAAGTGTCTGCCTGAATACTTGTGGTCACTTCCTTTGCATATATAACTAAAAATGAACTGCTGAACCATTTAGATGTATTTTATTATGAAATACTGTTTTTTCAAAAAATCCATATAGAAACAAATTATCTTTCTGCATTAAAGCTCATTTTATTGTTATTATGAGTAACTGCACAATTTTAACTTAGTGGAGACCCTGCATCACCACTTGGGTTTAGAACTGTATTCCACACCTTCCTGGTACCTCTCCCCAGCATGTTACACTCAGGGAGCCACGGACAGCAGTTCCGGGCACATCCGTCTTGCACTGTCAACGTAATTATCTACGTACTTTAAAAAACAAAGTGAGATCACACTTTAACACTCGTCTGCAACCTGCTGTAAAGGACTGCAGGTGTATTTAACATGAGCACTTTCAGATCCACCTCATCCTTATTAAAAGACGGATTGTATTTTACTAAATTAATGGGTCAAGGGTGACTTAACCCTTTTAACTGCCACTGAAGCAATTTCCAGATTTCCTGTTTTTTCAAACAACATTATACTGAAAACTCTGTACACATGGATCTCTCTCTTTCCTTGTGCTGGTATCACGTGTAACACCTCCCAGGTCTGTGAATACAGCATTTTAAATCAGAAAATACTGTGTAACTGCCCCCCAAAATCTGTACCAGCAGTGTGTGTGAGCATACAAGTGAGTTGTGCTCTAATTTTAAGTCAAAGAAAACGAATTTGTGTCTAATCACAGAATACAGATTCTGGCAACACTACTTTTATTGGAGTGAATTAGAATAAAGCCTGCCGTGAAGTTCAAATAATTTCTAGAGGAAAAGTGGAAACTTTAGGGCACATGACAATGAGTTGTTTCTAAAAGCTACATCCCTCTCCCTCCCTGGAGCTGAGGAGGCAAGGACAGGGAGCCCAGTCACCGGAGGGCGGCAGGCCGAGCTTCCAGGAGAGAAAGGGTGTGCGTGTCGAGTCCAGCTGGTTCCTGGCCCCAAGTGCAGCGCAGCTTGGGTACAGAGGGTGGGGGAAGAGTGGTTCCCCTGGGGTAAGAGGAGGCAGGGTCAGACTATGCAGGCAGCTAGGATCTGAATTTCATTCTAAATGTAATAAGGCAGTTGAAGGATTTTAAGCAAGAAAAGACCTTTCTGTGATGAAATGAAATGGCCTGACTAAATAGGAGGTCATGAAACTGGCAGGTGACGATGGCCTGAACCAGCAGCTGACTGTGCCACCCAGGATGGGAGCAGAGCACAGACGTGCGTGTTGGAGGCTGGATGCGCTAATGCATCAGGTGTGGAGGTGACGAAGGAGGGGGATTTAAGGAACCAGGAAGGTTCTTAGATTTCCGGCTTAAGTAACTGCCATTTACACAGGGGAAGGACGGAAGCTGAGAGACAAGAGCAGGTGCCAGACGCAGGAAGATGTCTAGGAGACACCTAAGTGTTAACGTCAAGGAGGCACTTTAACACACAGGCCTGAGGGGTTAGGAGGAAGGGAAAGGGCAGAAGTCACACACCTGGAAGTTTCTAGGCACAGAGAAAATACTCAAAGTCAATGCAGAGACACCTCTGCGCGGGGCAGGACACAAGTCTGACACCAAGATCTCTGAAGCTGACAGGTCCCAAATCGCCTATCACACTGCACCTTGTGGTAAGACTGACTTACTGATATGAGGTGAAATTTGGTGAGGATGGACCAAGATGGTGAAGACCACCACGCAGACCAGAGGACATGGCCCACGAGCACGGCTGCCCGCCCCTGACACAGCAGTAAGGCACTACCTTGAGATGCGCTGTCAAAGGACTTGATGAGGGTCTTGACCGTGGGCGTCGGCTCAGAGGAAGTCGAGGACCTTCTACTCAGGCCCATCCCCTGCCTTAAGGCGGCCAAGTCCCTCTCAACAGCGTTCATGTAGTTATACACCCGGCCTCGCTCCTCTTCTTGCCTGAAAACAATTTTGAGCGCAGGGCATTTTTACAAATACACTGGAAAATACACATTTCCCCTTCCCAACTGAAAAGCATTAAAAAGTATCAGTTAAAAAACAAAAATATTATCAGTTGAGCTGAGTAAATTACCTGATCTAATATTCTCATCTGCTTGGTAAATTCCAGGAAATGATATTAAAATTTTTATATCAGGTTATCCTAACTAGGTTAAGTAACCATCAGTTTCCATTTTCATCTGAGTAAGTGTAAGGTGAGGACATCAGTAATCAATTAGCAGTAAACTGGGAGGCAGACTGGCCAGGTTCGTGACTCAAGCTGGGGGTCTCAAGGTTCTGTGCTGCTGAGAAGGCTCGTCCCAGGGGTCTGGGACTTCGCCAGGACGTGCAGATAATCAGCACCAGCTCGATCTAACACGTCACATACAGATGTGGAAATACAAAGAAATGAAATCAAAGCCCATATTCTTAAAATTAAAAAAAACAAAAACAAAAACAAAAAATGGTGTGGTCTCCAAAGAGAAGTTCTACAAAGGGAGAAAAAGAAGGAAAGAAAAAATGCCTGGACCATATTGGTAACATGGGTCTCCTGGACGCTCAGTGTGAGGAGTCTTGAGTCGTCTAAAAGGATCAGTTCTGTCTCATTTCCAGACAGCTCTGCCCCACGGAGCTGATCCCACAAAAGTTTTCGTCTGGGATGAGATTTCCATTGCAAAGTTGGCCCATGTCATGTAACTATCAAGTATGTTTACCATGGACAAAATTAAGCCAGTCCTTGGGAAAATTTGTCTTTGGTGGAAGACAAACTCTGTCTTCTGACAGAGTTTCTTGCCTCCAGATATACCAGAGGGTCTCATGCTCAGAAGTTTTAATAGAAGACGTACAATAGCAATCACCCAACTTTTTGGTCTTAGACCTCCTTTCCACTCTTAAAAATGACTGAGGACCCCAAAGAGCTTTTGTTTACTTGGGTTATAGTGACCAATAGTTACCATATTAAAAAACTAAGAAATAGTTTAAATATTTAATCCATATAAAAAATAAACTCAGGGCTTGTTAACTAACATATTTTTATGAAAAACAACTATGTTTTCCAAAACAAAAATAATAAATAAGAAGAATAGCAATGTTTTAACATTTTTGCATATCTCTTTAATGTCTGGCTCAACAGAAGACTGAGAGATTCTCATTTCTTCTGTATTCAATCTACTGAGATATGGAAAAAAGGCAGGCCTCGCAGTCATGTAGCTGGAAAAGTGAAGACTACTATAATGCTATTAAAATACACAGCCGTGGCTCTCTGGATAACTGGCTGCCCTTCCTCGATCCCACACTGAAGCACAGCAGCCTTGGCAGTTAGTTACTCAAGGTTAGTTAGGATGTGGAATCTGAAATTGTGTTAATGAGCACCCCAACTTGGTCCATGAAGACCCCTGGTCCACCTGGCACTGCTAACGGACCTGGGTCTTGCGCCCAGGCAGGCCTGTGTAACAACACACACTGGTCACACGGAAAATACGGGTTCACTGAGTTACACGGATTTCCCAAATGCTGACGCCTGGCATAACACAATTTATTTTTAAAAGTCCCTTGTTTCTATCACTAGTAACCTCATCAGGAAGTTCTTTAAACATGGGAAGCTGCCGAGCTCACAGCGGCACGTACGAGTTTTCCAAGATCCTAACACTCCCCTGAAAGCCCGCATTTTATAATTGGTACCAAATGCTGTCAGCTGTTTCCCTTGAAGTGACAGGGCTCTCATCATCATTTTTAGGAAACATCCACTAAATACCAAATCTGGGCCAGCCATTCTCCAGTAAAAATTTTCATTCCGTGAAGGAAGAAAACAGCACAGAGCACAGCGGGCCGTGGGGCCCTGCCCAGACAACCCTGGCTCGCGTGGGGCAGAGGCAGCAGAAGCACCTACGTGCACCTCCCTCTGCGCCTCCCAGAGCTTCAGAGACAACACACTCAAGGAGCCAGGCAGCAGCGCTAACGATCCCCTGGAGAGGGAGGGAGGGAGGAATGAACAGATGGAACACAGGGGATTTTTAGGGCAATGAAATTATTCTGTATGACACTACAGTGGTGGCTGCATATCATTATGCATCTGTCAAAACTCATAGAACGTACAACATCAAGAGTGAACCCTAATATAAACTGTGGATTTTGGTTGATAATAATGTGTCCATGTTGGTTCATCGGTTGTACCAAACATGCCACACTGATGAGGGATGTTGAAGGATATGTGTGGGTGGGGAGGGCTATGTGAGAACCTCTCTATCTTTTCTGCTCAATTTTGCTGTGAACTTGAAACTGCTCTAAAAGAATTAAGTCTATTTAAAAAAAAAAAGATCCCCTGCTCCACCAAGGACGTCTTCAACGGACACCTGCACTGAGAGTACGACTTGGTGCCAAGGCCTGGATCCACCAAAAGTTTACGTCTGCTTCTTGCTGTCTGTGTGAAGGTCAACACAGCCAAGGGGGGAAAACAACACTCAGTACCACTGCGCAAACAGTCTGCCCCCGAAGAACCCCTGAAGGGCTCTGGGGACCCCTGCTCTCTTAAGATTGGCTAGAATACACGCGACGTGGTCCTGAGCACATTCAGGTGTGTCTCACGCCAGCCTGACAACAACTGGTCTCCTCTCTAGAGGTGAGCAGACTGAGGGCCTGGCCCAGACCTCACAGCCAGAGGAGGCAGGGGTACACCCGGGCAAGGTCTGTCTGCCCCGGGTCCACAGGGTCAGGGCTGGGACGCAGGGACGGAGGACACGGGGGAGCCACTAGGGGCCGTGTGCCAGTGACAACTCTGGCCCCCCAGAGGGGTGGGTTACGGACACCGACAAGTCTGAAAGGCCACACTATACTGTTTCACAGGTGTCATAGAACGGGCCCAGAAAAAGTGAGTGACTTTCAGGAGACCCAGACTCAGGCACACCCGGGTCAGACCCCACATTTCTCTGTCATACCACATCACAAAGTCAGGAATTCAGTGCTCTCCACTGAAGCGTTAAGTGCACAGCTGGCTTCTCAGGACATACTTGCGTGATTTTATTTCCTCCAATTCTTTTGTGAGCTTCTCATTTTTCTCTTGAGCCTCATGTAATCGGCGCTTCAGATCACCAATCTCCTCCTGGGCTTCGGACTTGATGTCATTTGCAATGACCACTGCGGTCTGGAGATCAGCCTGAAACTGCCGCCACTCCGCCGATTCTTCCTACGTTAAAAAACTGAAGTTTTATTTCCAAAAGAGAGCAATAAAGACTTATTTAAAAATGATAAAATGTGTTTATGATTAGACTGCTATAATGCACTTTTTCAAATGATGATTGATTGCTTTTAAACCCCAGAGAACTGCTACCACTTACTTCTAATGGATAATGTATTCCCAGCAAGCTTGTTCTTAGTGAGGAAAAGATTTTCCATCTGATTTGTCTACTCAAAGAGTGTTCAATGTTAACGAGGAAAGCGTCAAGCCTCCCTTCTTCATGCAAGTTTCACAGTAAATCTTACGAAAATAAACACAGTATCCAAAATTTACAGCACTTTACCTCTGAAAAGCTCAAGAAGGTAGAAGAGTGGTGTGTGAATCACACTGAAAGATTTTACAGTGAAAAACTATAAATATCCTGACATCAAAAACTAACAGGAAAAAAAACTATCAAAAGGAAAGGAAAAGGAAGAGGAAGCCAGAAGCAAACACCACACTGGATCTGGGCGGACAGAATCACACAGAGAGAGGCGCTGAGGACCGGCAGGGTCTGCTGCTCCCCTGGCCGTGGAGGGTGTGCGTGGTTCCCAGGGGCCACCTCCCCCCACCAGCCACAGCTGCCCACCCGCGCCCAATGCCCCCGCCCCAAGGCAGCCTGAGCAACCAAGGCTCAACCCAAACCATAAGCTGAGCTCCCCACCCTCTGCACCAGAGCGGCACAGCCATCTGCAGGTTGGTCACACCCACAGGCGACCGAAAACTCATAAGAAAACAGCTTAGTTTGGGACACTTTATAATCAAGAGCTAATAAACTTCCTTTCCAAAATATAACACTTGCTTCCTAACCCATCTTTCTGAAATGACTACTCATAAATTACTAGCACATTCTTCTGTCCAGAATCGAGCACCAGCCGGCATCTGAAGTGATGGCATTAGCTTCCTGCCCACACCCGGGGGACCAGTACTATAACCACCCCTGGTGAACGAGGGCACAGTCAGCAACTTCCAGAAAACTCCATTTTGACGAGATAACACGAGGAGAGTTCTCCTACCCTAAGTCTCCTGTGCAGTGTCTTGATTTCTCTTTCCATGTCATGTTTCTGGTCCTGGAGTTTTTTAACCGTATCTGAAAAGACCACAAAAGTTTAAATAATTATTTTTAAAATTGTGTTTGAAAAGAATAATATACAGGGATAAGGTACCTAAATATGACATTCTAAAAAATCATCCTGCCCAAAACCTTTTATTTTTAATATAAAACTTAAAAAGAAAAAGGAATACTCAACCCAAGTATAAACCAATATTACTTTGTAAGGAAAATATCAAATTTAAACCACTATGTCTGGATTACTTCCTTCCTCAGTGTCTTAATTCTGAAACAAAAAGTTAAGTAAAATCAATTGTTAGAAACACACACACACTGTTGGCTCACAACCAATCAAAACAACATTGACTGCTATTAAAATGTGAGCTTTTAATCAAAAGGGTCATTAATCTAAAGTAGTTATGCAAACATAACTTGCTTTACAAACTAGAATAAATTCCAGAAAAGTGATGAATTAGTAAAATTTTTACAAAATTAATTACATACTAACTTGGAGAGCTGCTGCTTAATTCTATGGAAAGTCTTTTTACAAAATAAAGGGTTAAAGTAAGTCAATACTCCTCGCATAACTTCTTGCACAATTTGTATTTCCTTCTGACAATTCCACGCACCGCGAATGTCTGACGAGCACACTAATGGGCAAACAGTGGGAGGGGTGCACTGGTGGACGCACAGCCAAGGCCTGTCCCCTGGGTCCAGAAACGCACTGGGAAGTCACAGCCTATTTGGAAGGTTCTGCTCAAAAATCCCTGCGTGAGGGACACGCCTGGGGAGGGTGCCGCGCTGGTGCCACTCAGCAAACCTACCGCAGCTGGCCACTCTGACAGCTCAGGAACTGTCCCCCTCTCTCTGGTTAAACACCAGAAGAGGCACTCACGCCCGGTGACAAGTATGCTGACTGACTTCACTTACGCCCCTCCCAGCAGAGCCCTGTCCTTTCTGCACTCCAGCTCTGCCCTATACAGCCTTGTCTCTGTTACTGCCAACACAGGTGCATTTCTGTCCCTACCCAGAGGCTGAAAACATCCCAAAGCCAGGAGCCATGCAGTTGAGGTCACAGCCCCAGCACCTGGCACGTGGTAGGCCTAAAATGTGAAGTAAGTATATAAACATGCAAGCTAGTGGACGCAGCAGGAGAAAGCAATACTGAGGTCACTACCCAGGGTCGTGTGTCTGAACATTCCCGAAACAGGACTTCACTCTTTCTTGTCAGGGACATCCAACTATGGACACTGGTGTTTCCGAGTGAACATTCCCTCCCATCCCTTACGCCCAGCAGAGTGAATACCTGCGTGCAATGGCACACGTAAGCAAAACACCTCTCTCAGGCTAACAAAGTGTTAGCGTCTACGCAGACCCTAAGGCATGAGCTTTTTCTTGGACGTTTTCCCTTAGATTGCTCCTGGGCGGCTTCTCTGTTCCGTCAGGAACCCACTCTGCTGAAACCTTGGAAACATTTCATTCAAAGTTGATACATTTGTGTTCCAATGTTTTTAAACTGCATGAATTCACTTTGGTAACAATATAAAACCTAGAATATTTGTAACAATTATATGTGTAATAATTACTATAAGTGTATAATAATGGTGTGTTTTCTAAAACTGGATTAAAAAATGAGATAAAACATGGGTGAAAAAACTACCCATTTTTGGTAGTCAGTAGTCAACCTCCTCCCGTTTATTACCCCAAAGTTGTTCAACAAAGTTAAGGCCTATGAAATAAAAAGTTCATTAATTACTTTTACTCAGTAATTCACTAAACAGCTTGTTAAGTACCTACTTTGTACTGGATTTTTTTTTACAAGGTGCTTAAGATACAAGAGGAAAGGAAAAAGGTATAGTCCCTACTCTCTTAAAGACAGAAAATAAGATGTTCGCGTATACAGAGGATTAAACTTTCACAATCTGTCTCTATATAAGCTGCTACAGACCTCACTTCACCTGGAAGCTGAGGGCCAAGTGGGACATCCAATTTGGTTGAGGGGAAGCAGACACCAGCTAAGTGGGTGAGTCCATGACCCTGCCCTGCATTCAGAGAGGCATGGATGGCTCTGGAACCAGCAGGGAATTTGGCTCCGTATGACCCAATGAGGTGGAATCAAGGGTTTGGCAATACTACCAAACACAGACAAGGACAGAAGCTAAAACGTGTGTGGAAAACACTAGGGGCTATACCTTCACTTACGCTACGCTTAGGTGCAAAAAGTTTATAATAAAACGAGCAAGCAAACAAAAAAGCGTGTAATTTCTCCTCCTCTGTTGAAAATTGTTTTCCTTTTCTTCCGGTCACATAGGACATACGTACCTTTCGATATCTCACATGAGACCCATGACAGCCAATCTCACTGCAGCCCACTTTTAACACCCGGTGCCTTGATTCTCAGGTGACACTGTAAGTCACATGGCCATCTCAGACTGATTACAAAATCCCAAATTTCATTCATTTCTTCTGCCCTCATCCTTCTCTCTTTATCAGCCTCTCCACTCACGGCCACAGGTGCCCACAAGCCCTGCTCGTCGAAGGGCGCACGTTGCTGCCACATCTCCGCCCACACAGAAGGGCGCTGGCGAGCGGCGGCCATCGGCAGCACTGTAAGTGCACGACAAGCGTCTCTGGGGAGTTGGGTTTAAACTCTGCAAACATGTCTGTAGCTTCACTTTGTAACATAAAGCAATACAAGTGACAACAGTCTTTTTTCCTTGGAAACAAAGAAGTCTTGCTTCAGGTCTCCCTGAGAAGACACTCAGCAAAACTGCCGTCAGCCCGGTGACCCATCACGCCGGGCACACGAGGGCAGCCTCAGCCTTCACTCCGGAGCCTCTAAACGCAGGTCCCCTCTTCAGTTTTTCTAGTGTGAGTGACACTGCCACCTACTGTCTGCAACTCGGAAACAACATTAAATTCTAAGACCTCATTTTTGTTGTTGTTGTTTTTTTTTGAGAGGGACGCAATTCGGTTTATTTATTTATTTAATGGAAGTACTAGGGATTGAATCCAGGACCTCATGCATGCATCTCATGCATGCTCTAACATCTCATTTTTTTAAATTACAAGTTATAACTCAATTTTACAATGTTAGTTTTAATTCTAGAAATCAGATAAATTTCTGTTCTCATTGCTCTTAGTCCAACTTGGCTCTGAACAATTCTGGGCACTGCCCTGCCCATTTAATAATGGGGTTCATAATCCTTCCACCCCCAAGACCTACCATCGCCAGTAAATCCAGAACCATCACCAGGCCTTCACTCTGGCTCCAGCTGTGTGCCCATCACACCACAGCTACCACAGCACAGGATCAACCTACGGCCCCTGGGGTGTAAAGTCATGGAAGTTGACCTGCCACCTCTCCCGCCCTCCAAATTCGAGAAAACCCTTAGGGTACTGACACCCCAGTACTCAGTCAGACTCCTGCCTCTGGTCAAGGGCCTCCAACTGCCATCAGGTGCAATTTTTAGAGGAAGGGAAAGGACCAGAGAAACCTATCAGTGAAAACTCCACGCCCCAGGGCAGGGGAGCCACGCAGGCACTGTATCCGGCCACCAGGCCATGACTTCATTGCCAAACCAGAATTCCTGAGGCAGGAAGACACAGATGAGTTTCAAACGAACCATTTACTACCTCTTTTTAAAAAACTGTATTCATTTTTATCCACCCCCCCTTAAAAAAAGTGAATATAACGTTTTCCCCTGATTCTAAAAGTAATACAAGCTCACAATAATAAGAAGTGTGGAAAACAGAAAGAGGCGACAAAAACAAGACTGCCCAGCATCTGCACTTGGCATGTATCCCTCCAGACTTCATATGTGTAAATATTTATTTTTTTTAAAGAAAAATGAGCCTGTACTATGCATACTGCCTCAGAGGCCTTTCCACTAAGCAGTGGATACTGGACACCTTTATCGCAGCACCTCTGCGGCAGCCACGTTGGTACCCATCACTGGATGTATCATGATCTGTTTAGCAACCTCCTACTGATGAACAGCCAGAGTAGTTCCAACTCCTGTTATAAACACGACAAGGGTCTTACATAGCCGTTCAGACGTTACTTGAAGACACTTCCTAGAAGTGGAAGAAGTGATGAAGGACTATTTGAAACCACCAACAGGATCTGAGTCAACCCACTAGAAGGTTCTAGCTCAAGAACACAAAACTTTTTTTGGGAAGTCACCAAGTTACAGCATTTCTGGTACAGAATACACTGGAATTCCTTAAGGAGCACCATCATGCCTAGCTACTGTTTCAGTGTAATGCTATACTTAACATGTTCATGGTTTTGTCACAGAAGTAGGACACTCCCTCCACCTCTAGGGCACGTCTCCCGGCCTGTGCACATGGACTTGCCTGCTTACTTCCCCTGGTGAAGAGGGAGCCACGGGAGGGACGGGCTGTGCACGTGGGCCAGTAACTAGACTCCCACTGGTGAAAACACAGGCAGTTTCCAAGTTTTCATGGTGACCAGCAGCTCTGCAGCAAGCATCCACACCTGCACAAGCATCTGCAAACTCAACCGAACGTTTCTCAAGAGCAGATTTGCAAGATCACTGTTGTGCTTTAAAATCTTTTTATCAATACTCCAAAAAGGCTGCAGCATATGAGAGGACCCTCTTCTCCTCTCTCACGTGTTAGCAATCTTTTTAATTGTTCACATGTTTTTGGAAGTCAAGCACCTTTCTGTGCTTTTTCTGGCCTACCTATTCATACACTTGACTTAGCTAATGGGTTATCCCAGCCTTACTGATGTCCAGTCTCTTTACATATCTGATACGCATTACACATCTTTCTCCCAAAGTCATTTATTTCTAATACTTTGCTGAACTGAAAACTGTAATGTTACATAGTCAAATATGAGACTTTTCCACGAAGGCTTCCCAGGATTCCGCCTTCCAAGCTCTTCCCACCACAATCCCACAACACTCCTGTTTCTCTGCTCCTTCTCCAACCTCGAGCTACCCTTGCTCACCACTGTCGCCAGTGTTCCACGATTCGGTCAAGCCCTGTGTTGGATATCAGCTGGGCCTCAGTCTCAGGTGCTACAGAGGGCAGGACAGAGGCAGTGCTTCACTGCAGGCAGCCCCAGAGAGTTACAGTGCAAACAGCAGGTGGCTGATGCAGGGCCCGAGCTGGACCCGAGATCTCGCTGGTGCCACTGCTCTCAGCACCAATCCGCTCGGCTTGCCGCACTGGTGGGGAAGTTATTAACTTTATTTCTGGGGGGCTCAGCTGAGCTGTTTCTTTCTGCTGTTTCTCTTTTAAGCTCTTCTAAGGTATTAAAGTGTCTAAGAAGTGCTGGTTGGCCTTTCTTACCTATAAAGGTCAAGGATGATTAATACCGGTGACTTGTGCGTGCTTCTCAACAACTGTGATGTGACTGCTCTGTCCTCAGGCCTCTCCCTTCAACCTAACAACCTGCTATGGCTCGGCTGATGACAGGGGCCAGTGGGGCGGGGGCACCCTATGGACGACAGCAGAGACCGGTAGGCCTCAGCTGAGGTGACAGGTGTATGTGGGTTTCACCGCTGGCCACGCTGCCCTCCTCTGTGCGGTCTCCCCTCCAGACGGCAGCGGCTAGCAGCTCCCTCAGGTGCAGCACTGATGTCCACACGGAGCCCCGAGCACTGCCTTAGGGAAGAGCTGAGCCCCGCAGCAAGCTCACTGGCTCCTCTGTAGCTCTGATTTGTTGTTTAAATGATTCAGTAACTTTTAACATTAGCTGTTAAATTTCTCAGTTCCAGAATACCTACTAGGTTTTTTTTTAAAACAGTTTTTATTTCTCTGCTGAGACTTGCTATTTGTTCATCACTACAAGCAGAGTTTCCTCTACTCCCAAGTACAGGGTAACAGCTGTTTTAACGTCCTATCCACTAACTCCAAAGTCAGGATCATTTTGGGGTAAATGAGTGACTGCTAATGGGTACAGTACTTCATTTTGGGGTGATAAAAAAGTTCTAAAACTGACTGTAAGTGCTGGTTGTTAAAGCACTCCACAGAAGAAAATCTCAATTTCTCAGTAAACAGTGTTCCGGCCTTCACGCGCCTGCACCAAGGGCTGACTCAGCATCAATCCTGACTGCTAGAATTCTCTAGGGAAAAAAATTACCTCCTATCAGACTCCGGAGATTTAACAATTAATTGTTATGCATGAAACCTGTCTAGATCCCAGCTCCTACAAAAAAGTATACAGGAAACTATGGGACAGCTGGGAAAACCTGCATACGGCTCTGAGATGAAACCAAGGAAGTATGACTACCTTTGCAGCTCTGACAGCAGCACCGCGGTTAAGAGGGCAAGGCTCAGGAGGCGCATGCTCAAGTGTTTGGGACTTAAGTGTCATCAAGTCTGCAGCTTACTGCCACCTGGTTCAGCTGGAGGCACACACACACGGTGAATGCCGCAAAGCGTCAACTATCACACAGCAGTTGGTGCGAACCACCACACTATTCTCCACATGTATTTCTGTTACTTCAATTTTCCGTTTCAAAAAACTGGAGAGACACATTACATGGCTAAAAAAGGCTTTATTCAGAATTTTTAGCCATCTGATAATTAAAATCCACATAATGTTAATGTAGTTTTTACTTTGGCAATGATTTGAAAAGTTTTGTCCCAGGAATCCTCATCTAACATTTTTCTAGCTATTACCCTCAATTACCACAAGGTGTTGCTCTTTCCAGGTTCAACTCAAAAAGCTTGCAAGGGAAAAGGCTGCTACTATCACTAAGCGCTAAGTGGAAAATGCACAGAACTTCCAAGACAATCTGAAAATTTTACAACCTCCTACATTTAGGAAGTAAAATTAGATAAATCTCTCAGTTCAGAGACAATGAAATACAAAGTAGATATAACGTTAAACTAAAAGTTTTTTAAAACTTTAGAAGAGAAAGTTCATCGCTATGTCTCTAAGAAATGGTCCCAAGTCAGCTACTTTCGTATCCAGATGCCTTAGAATGTTCTGACTAACCCTAGGGTCAACCTACAGATGCTGGTCAACTAGCCGGAGCTCAGAACTGTCACCAGGCATGCTGAGGGCTTCTGAAAAAGACCCACTCTCTCCTGGAAAGACTTCAAAGCTGTCCCCCTGACCCACGTCTGCGTCCATGGCACGTGCGAACTGGCTCCACGCTGCATCTGCCTGTCAATCTTCAGTCAAGTAACCGCCTGCCAGCGCTCAAGGGGCAGCATCACGAACCAGAAGTTTACAAAGCTTGAACCAAGGCGCCACAAAGGTCACCCCTACATCCCTGTCCCCGCCTGGCCGCCAGTAAAGTGCATTATGACTGAAAATGTGCCCACATTTGAGGAATCTAGATGAAGAACACATAAGAACTTTTAAAATGTACTATTCTAAAATAATTTTAAACTTATGAAAACAGTACAAGGAACACCTATACACCCTTATTCAGACCTGCCCACTGTGAACTGTTTACCATTTGTTTTACCATTTGTCACCTCCTATCCCTGACCGTCTGCCTCCACCCCCCTAACTTCCCTGAACCCTTTAAGGATACATGCCATGGTCCTTCACCCATGAATACTCGGTGTGTGGTTCCTGCAACAGAGACACTCTTTTACAGAAATGCAGTTTGGTTACCAACCTTGTACACTGATACTGACGTGGCATCTTCCACCCACATTCCAGTTCTGTCCCCACATCCCCAGCCTCTCCCGACAGTCCTGGGGTCAGTCCAGGCACCTGGAGCGACCTGGACTGTCCTGTCTCCTTAGCCTCCTTTAACCTGGAACGTTCCCTCTACCTCAGTCTCTGAGGACATGGGCATTTTTGAGGAATACAGCCCCACCCGCTCTCGGCCATTGTGGTACAACATTCCTCACTTTTTTCTATTTACTGTTTCTTTACGATTAACTGAAGTTATGTCTCAGCCAGAACTTGGCCTGGGGATGTCACGTCCAGTATCCACGTCTCTGTCACTGACATGATTGCCTGGTCACTGTAAAATTTCTGGCTGTTTCTTTTCCTCGTTTGCAACATAATGAAGTCTGTGGGAAGACATTTTAAGATCATGCAAATTTCTGTTCCTCATCCAATTTTCCACACAAAAATGCTTTGTACTATTTTTGCAACTTTTTTACAAGTCTGAATTAACAACAAAATAGTTTTTTTAACTTTTATTTCAAAAAGTGAACGCAACTTGAAATCTGACTTTCAATTCCACCTGAGCGTAAGCGCTCCATGGAAGGGAGGAAAATCTGACACGTAAACAACAGCCTATGCCTGAGGTGTAAGGTTATGAAGCGGGATGTTTGTGGGTCTCAGCACACCTGCATCACTAGACGTGGATAATACATGGCTTCTCCTAAGATCCAGAAAATAATAACCCTGTTACCTTTTCACTTAAATGATCTCCATGATTAAGCTCAGTTTTAAAGTACTGTGTCCATGTAACAGCGCTTCAGGAACAAAGCAGCGGCCAGGAGACCATGAACTGCCGAGGGCAGCACGCTGCACACACTGGTGTCCGGGGCCACGGGGCTCCCGCCTCGGAACCACCACCCCCGTCAAGACACCCACCCTCACTGTGTTACTGAACGCAGACTCCTCCCACGTGTTGGGATGAGTACACTTACTCTCTAGGTCAGAAATGATGAGGTTGTCATGAAGTTTCACTGCCCGGTGCTGTTCAACTTCGTCTTCAAGTTCAAAAATGGTTTCTTTCATGTCGCTCCTTTCTGTCTCTTTCTCTTCCAGCTCTGATCTTAATTTCTCTAATGTCATGTTCAAATCTTCTATCTGCTTCTTAGCTTCTTCTTGGAAGGCTCGGTATTCATCTTCTACCTACATAAAGTTGACGGTGCAGGTGAGAAAAGTGAGAGTTGTTCTAAGATACATGCTAGGACGGAGGTACAGCTTCTACAGGAAGCTGGCGGTGAGCTGCTCTGCAGGGACTCAGGGCTGCACACGACACGCCTATTAAGCCTGGTTTGTTGCTGCATCACTACAACCATGCTGACATATCGCTGAATTTACTGAGATCATTTCAGGAAACTTTGGAAATTCTCCCTTCTCCAAAACCTGGACTGAAGGCATGCATCTGATTAATAATTAACATGCTTTCTCACAAAAATGATGTCTGATTTGTGACAGTTTCAATAGCAAATTAAAAATGGAAACAAAAAATTCTCAAATATTGTCACTGTCAAAGTGTTAATTCATAGTGGCCCCCAACATAAATGCTCCAACAAATGACACATCTTCTAAATTATATCTCTAAGTCATCACTTAAACAAATGAAGGTTTAAATTATTCAAATTTTGGCCAAAGATACACTGTTTCCTACTGTAAAAATCATTAAACAGGAAAAAATGTAAGATAAAATAAGTATGCACATAAGTCATGCACATAAATACTACATAAGCAAAACGAAAAAACACACTACTGAGCAGCCACGTGGGGCAGAGTCCCGGCCAGAGTGCAGCAACCCTGGGCTGCAGACTCCTCACTATCACGCTGCGTGTAAAACGAGGGGGTTGGGCCAACAAGCTCTAAGGTCCCCCGCAGGGACAAAGCACAGGCCTCTGCATACTCCGAGAGTATTTTCAACTCACAGAAGAACTCTGTTTGAAAAACTACAAACTCAGAAGGATGAGAAGAGACACAGCCCACAGCCTGGGACGCTGGCTCTCCATTTTTCTTACATCAAACCACCTTAGGGAAGAGGATATAAAACTGCACGACACGCTCCCCTGGGCATCCCCAGAACTCGGGACAACTTCTGTGAGTTGTGACTCTAGCCCCATCCTCTCACAGGCAGGAAAACAGCAACAAAATGCAAGTGAGTGGAAGTGACATCATTTTAAGAACACTTTTTCAGTCCATCCCACTTCAAGAAAAGCATTCTGGAGCTTAAAAAAACGCCAGCTTACAAAGGGCCCATGGCGTGCCAGCACCAGGTGGTGCGGCTGTGCGGCGCGGGCCCAGGACGCTCTCCCTGCTGGGAACGGTACCTTTGCAATGGTGTCCTGCAAACGATTGGCTTCATTCCGGGTGTGAGCCAGATCTTCCTGCAGGCTGCCGGCCAGAGCCTCTGCTTTTTCTTTGTCCAGCCTGACGCTCTCCAGGAGATCCTGAATGTCAGACTTGTCTCCAGAGTGGTGGATGGAGTACAGCTCCGCCACTTTCTGCCTCTCGTTCTCCAGCTGGGCCTTCAGGCGGTTCACCTCCATCTGGTCACTGGCCACCGTGGCTTTGTACTCCTCTAACGAGGCTGCCAAGGCTGCCTTACCCTTCTGCTCAGACTCAATGATCCGCTCCATGTGGTGGTTGCGCTCTTTCAGCGCCCCTATCATTTCCTGAGCCTCCTTGTTGTCCTGCTCTGCCATCTTCAGAGTATTGCTTAAATGCTGCTGGACCCCAAGGAGCTGCTCGCGTTCAAAGCGGGCATTCTCAGCTAGATCCATGTAGCGCTGTTCCAATTCCATGTAGCGGCCACTTTTCACATCCTCGTCGATGACATAGGAAATGTGATGCTCATCCAGAAGGGAACGGAAATACTCGATCTGCCGGCTGAAGTGTTCCAACTTATCGCTCTGCTGACATAAGGACTCCATGAGAATAACCTTCTCCTCGCCCAGCCTCTCGTTCTCACTGTTCAGCTCCTGGGTAATCTGCTGCAGGTCAGCGAGCTCCTGCAGCGTGGCCTGCAGCTCCTCACTCGTGCTGTGCTGGTTCTCCTCCATCTGGTGTATCCGTTCTGTCAGGCAAGCAACGGACACCTCGCTGGCATTCCCGCTGCTCCCCTTTCGAGAGCGCTCCATGCTGGGAATGCCCTCCGACTCTGAGGACGACGGGGCGTCCAGCGCATCATCGCTGGACGTTAGGGGCTGGTACACCTCGCTGCACTCGCTGTCCAGGTTGTCCATAGAGTTACTGTGCTGGTGGCCCATGAGGGTGTTCTCATCCTGGCTCAAGAGATCCTCCACGGACCCAGGGGCAGAGCCCTCCACCGAGGAAGTCAGAGTCCCTCCTCCATCGCTCTGGTTGCCGGGGGTGATTTCTGGGCTCAGGGACTGGTAGCCAAAGAGCTTCTCAGGGTTGTCTAACCTCTGCTCCAGGGAGAAGCCCAGTGCGTTCAGCCTGTCCTTCAGCATCCTGTTCTCATTTTTCAGCTGGTTGAGCTCCTCGCGGATGGCAGTGTTCTGCTCCTGCAACTGCAACAAAGTGGACTCGACATCAGTCGGCTGGTGAACAGTGCCAGCCTCCTTCTCCGCACACTTCTCATCCCCCTCAGGGTGGTCCTCGCTAATGCCCAGCTGAGCGCGCATGCCCCGGAGTTCATTTCTCAAGTGTAAAATTTCCACGTCTTTGGTTTTTGCCAACGTGAGAAGATCCTTCACCTTGGCTTCCAAAGCAGCTTTGTCACTGATCTGATTGTCCGATTTGGACTTGCTCATGCGAACATCACAGTCCGCAGCAGTGCGACCGCGGGAACGTTTAGCCAGTGCCACGTCATTAGCTCCCTGACCTGCAGAAGGCAGTTTTTTGCTCTGGTTTAGTCGGGTACGCTCACGTAATCTTTCTCTAGTAGAACTGGACTCTTTATTACCTGTGGAAGTGCTCCGCTTGGTTGAAGAACTTGTGCCTACATGTTTAAAACAAAGAATTTAAGGCAAAAAATTAGCAATAAAGAGGCACAGAGTCATGCTTCAGGTCCAGTGTGATGAAATCAAAAGAACTACACACTGATTTTGACCTACATTAATCCTGCCTTAGAGGATTCCTCCAAACCAGAATGTCATTCATCTTCTAATTATCAATGAAAAAGAAGTTATACACTAAACTGTATACTGTAAAAAAGTGAATTTCATAGAGTGTGAATTATATCTCAATAAAGCTGTCACACTGAAAAACAGTTATACACGTGAACTTGAATTCTAAACCACAGCTTTAGGCAGGTGGCCCCGGCATAATGTCCTCAAGCAAGCCAGGTGCAGGTGACTCTAGGGATAGTCAGGGAGCAAACCAACTGCAGAGACAGACAGTGAAGGAAGACCGCAGATGAACAAGAAAGGGAAAGGCAGCTCTGAACAAGAAAATCTAAGCTAATAATAAGCACAAAAAAATATGATCAAAGTAAATGCAAAATTTTTTCACACCTTAAAATGCCACATAAATAGTACTAATAACAAGAATCATAATTAAAGATAACATGGGCTTATACTTAACTACACATGCACACATTAACACTTCATATACATTTGCTTATACAAGCTTCATCACTGTCATCCTGTTTTACAGATGAAGAAACTCAACGAAGAGATTTTAAAGGGGGAGGGTGCAGCTCAGTGGGAGAGCACATGCCTAGCATGCACAAAGCCGTGGGTTCAATCCCCAGTCCCTCCATTAAAATAAATAAACTTAATTACTTCCCCAACCCCCCAAAAAACAACAAAAAGAAAACAGATGTTAAATAATTTTCCAGCATCCCACAGGTAATACAGGGATGAACCAAGATTCAAATGCAGGCAGGCAGTGTGGCTCCAAAATCTGCAAACTAACCAGCAGGCAATTTTGCCTCTCTTAGTGTTAGAAGACGATGATGTTAATGTTAAGTTGTAACAGTATGTGAATCACATATGCTGCACGAATCATACTTACTTACTGCTAAAATTTTAAACCTGTGCAAATAACTGACACGATCATGTGTTTAATATAGAAAGGATAGGAGTATGTTTAAATACCCATAAACATTTAAGAAACAGAATATTTTTCACTTTGAAAAACAATACCTAGACCTGATCAATAAACATTTTTAAAGAACCAACTGGTTTTTTATGTGGCAGGCACAAGGCTCCATAGCTAGCAAGGAGCTAAACGTCTACATGATGCGAGAAGAGAGCCTGGGGTCAGGTGTAGAGCAGGGGTAGGAATGCTGGCTGGCCATGAGGCAGACCAGGACGAGGAAGCAGAAGTGAGCCTCATACACAAGAAGGGGAAGGGAGGTCACAGAGTCAGTGGAAGCAGCGGGGGTAGGTTTCTACAGAGCCCTGAATGCCAGGGGGAGTTCGGTGAGCCTCAGCAATAAACGCTGAGTCAATTTTCCTGAGCAGGGAAGAAACACAGGGAGAGAGTGCTCTGACGGAAGTTCGCCTAGAGGATGCCACGTACACGTGAGGGAGAAGGAGGAACAGCGAAGGAGGGACACGGCAGGCAGGGCAGCAAGACTAAGGGAAGGCCATATCCCGGCAGCAAGGGCTAGACCTCCTTAAGAGCAAGGAAAAGATAATAAACCAACCACGTGTGCAAACACGTGTGATCTCACCAGGAAACTCTACAGACTAGAGATAGGAGGAGATCTGGAAGGCGCTGAAGTATTGGTTTCCTTCTTACCACAGAAGCTGGAGTGTTAAACGTGGTGCCGACCCTGCTCGGGAGGAAAAGACCCAAGTTTAGTCCTCGCTCCACCACCAGTTCTGCATCCTGGTACAAAACAGGCACCCAGAACACAGTCACTGAGAAAGCAAGGGCGTGGCTCTGAGCAGGAGACTTAAGCTTCCTAAGGGTAGCTTCCACATCCCTAAAATGAAGTTTAAAATAGCCTCCATCTCAGAGGGCCGTCGTGAGGATAAAATGGAATAATGCCTGCAAAGCACAAAGTAAGAGTAAGGACTTCCACATTTCCTCCTGGCAACCACAGCACCCTGCTCACAGAGGGGCATGAGCTGGTGGAAGGAAGATTCCTGAGGGTCAAAGCAGGAGAGGGGACAGAAGGCAAGCGTGGACCAGGAAAGAGTCCAATACACATAAGAGGGGCGAAGCACCTAAAGATTATGGTCAGCTATAATTTCTGCCAGTCTGCTCTCATAAGCTTCATCATAAACACATGATCTTAAGTTTACTGGAAGTTTTAAAGTTTTTTTCTGTAAGTGTAAGAAGTAAAATATGACAGCATTACTTCTTGGACTACAGAATGAGATCTGAACACAAACTGCTGCTGATGATGAAGAAAGAATGGCAGAACTGGCATGAACGGACCTGGCCTTGATCATGGAACGAGACAGCCAGCCGATCACCCCCTGGGAAGGAGCAAGGGGAAGGAAACTGGGTCTCTCTCCCCAAGGCTCTGGGTCCAGTGACATTTACAGCCAACAGAGAGAACAAAGGAACACGGCCAAGGACATCACAGGGAAGTGACACCAAAATCCAGATCATGGGAAACTACAGGTCAAACAACCATTTCTACAAAAATTAAATTCCAGGATTCATAGATTTAAAAAAGAAGATTTAAGACAATTCACCAATACATGGACTTTAAATGAATCTGGTGAATTCTGATCCAAACAAATAAGTAAATAAATATATGTAATATTTCTAAGACAGCTGGAAATTCACAAACTTACTGAACAATTTATGACTCAAAGAATGACTATTAATTAATTTAAGGACTGATAATGGTATTGAGAATATATTTTTAAAAGAAGCCTTATCTTTCAAAGATAATTAAATATTTGCGGACAACACCTAGAATTTGCTTCAAAATAATCCGGGGGAAGGAGGGGGTCACGGAGCTAGGAGCAGCCGCCAGGTGACAAGGGTGATGAGTACTTGGGGTTGAAATACCTGATACTCTTGCACACACTTGAAACTTTCTACGATTAGATGAATTCCCCACTGCTGCACTCTGCCCGCTCAGACAAAGCGGCAGCGGGACGCTCATACCTGTGCCAGTCTTGGACTTGTTCTCCACGGTGCTCATGGCGGCGGTGGGGGCAGAAGGTGCAGTGGAACAGCAGGTGCTTTTTTTTCCTTTGACACCATTGGTCACTGTCACCCCTCCAGCCATCCCAGCTAAAAGGTCATCATTGCTCTTGGTCTAGAAGCAACAGAAAAGAAAAACAAGTTGACTAGATGAAGCAAGATTAAATAACATTTTGAGACTAAACAAAGCCCCGGACTTTTATGTCGCGTTCAAGAGCTCTACAAAGACTTTCCGACAGTTACCAAGCAGTGCCTCATGCTGAGCTACAAAAACAGAACCTCTTTACTGGTTTATAAACCATCATGCACTTCTTTTTAAAATATGAAAATCACAATGAACTCAAGATTTGACAGAAGTCTACGTCAGCCCCACGGGCCAGACTCAGCAAGGGGGGGAAACAGTGAAGACGTCCTCCTCGCTACCCTCTCACGCCTGACACAGTTTACGAGCCAGGACATCTGAGAGACATCACACACACTACTTCGGGGAAGTTCGATGCCACCTTACAATGTCTAGAGGGAAACAGTGTCAGGAGTTAGAAACAACCTTCACTGCTTTAAAGTGATTTAACATCTAGAAGAGGCTATGCCAAAATTTATTTTTCTTACCTTATCTAGTTTTTCAGTAGTCTAAATTAAACCAAAATTGAAAGGAGATGTTTTTTTCAAGGCCTAAGTAATATGCAAATTTTAAAAACTGGAGATTAACGAGCGAGGGTTAGTCAGCCTAAATGACCATATTATTTGAGAAGGACCATTTTGTAATATTTGTTTATGTTTTATAAAGATGACTGAAAAAATGAGAGCTTCTTAAAAAGAAAAAAAACACTCTGGATAACTGGATTGGGTATAAAATTATCCCTTACGAAAAAGAGAAATGAGAGAACACAGGGGAGTTGAAGATCTGTGAGAAAGAAAAAAACTTATGTTTTTAATAAAAAACTGAAAGTTTTGCCCATTAAGGTGAAGGCACAAGTTAAGCAGTGGATTTATGCCATTTCCCATCTGGAGGCAGGCTCATCCTCAGATTATCACAATGAATTCATTTCTTCTAAGCAGAACAGCTAATAAATAACTCATCTCTAAAGCCTCTTCTAGTTCTGAATGTCAGGAACTCCATATGGAGCAGTGCCATTAGGTACGTCAATCTGGCTTTCCAGAAAGATGCAGAACAAGGCTTAATGTTTTAAATGAACTGTCAGAATTAGGCTTTGGTAATTTAGGGCTGTCACATTACAAAAAATCTAGATCACGTAACAAGAAAGGGGGATACTATATTAATCATTAAGGACTGTTCATTTTCTTTAAGACTAGTTTCTGTTAATAAAATTGTTCATCAACTATGATGTAAAAAATCAAGTCACACCTCTTCCCGTCAATTTGCCCCTCCTCTATTAATCAGTAAATAAACCCAGCATACTCTTACGTTTTCATATCATCTTATTTATATTGGTAATTAAAGTTAAAATCATCTTTGAGCTAATTTTCCTTCCTCCATGAGTTAAATATTCTTTTCTTTCATAATAATACATCTAAAGACCACGTACATAGTCCTATAAAAAGTGGCTTAATTGTCACACTTCTGTTTACAATTTGTCTTCAAGTAATAGAAAAGTTAAACATACATCAGAGTACCAAATCAAAATCTATGCAATGATCACAGTAACTGTAATAGCACAATACTGGCACACGAATTAACCAGTGGAACAGAAAAGAATTCAGAAAAAAACTGTACTTATGACCAAAGAAGCAGTACAGGAAAAATGGATTTTCACTAAGTGGTGCTAGGTCAATTGCATATTCAGAAAGGAAAGAAGAAATAAATCAGCCCTATTTTACACGATATCAAAAACAAATTCTAAGTCTTTCTATTATTCAAAATCCTGAATGATTAAAACAAAAAACTGAAAAATCTGACTAAGTAAAAATTAAAATCTTTTAAAAAATTTAAACTGTATGGCTAAAAAATTATCATAAGCAAAGTTAAAAAAAAAAGGAAAAGAAAAGAAAAGAAACCACACACGAGAAACTAGGTAAGTATATTTGAAATACCTCACCAATAAAGGGCTAATATCCCTAACACACAAAGAACTCTTAAAAATCATGGGGAAGAAGACCAAAAACCACAAAGAATAGTGAGTAAAGTGCACAATCACATACAATCAATTCACACAGTACAAGAAAAGATGGTCAGTCTAACTCACACTAGGAGAAATGCAAATAGACAGCACTGAGCCGCCGCGTCCATCAGACCAGCAAGAGGGAGAAAAGCAAGACACGCCCCTCCGCGAAAGGTGTGGGGGCAGGCTCTCTCGTCATTCCTGGTGAGGACTCGACTGGGCAGACAGAGCCTTACGGAAGGACATGGTGACGTCTAACAATGCTGCATATGCATTTACCTTTTGCCCAGCAATTCTACTTCTAGGAATTCAACTGAAGACACTCCTCCAATAACACAAAAATACATGTGCATAAAGTTATTCATTGCAGCATTGTTTCTAATTGCAAAATACTAGAAACACCTTACAGGTCTATACGTGGGAAAGCAGTTGAATAAACTATAGTACATCCATGCAAGGAAATATAAACAGAATGAGAAAGACTGCTAAAAACTGGTATGGAGGTATCTCCAGACTATATAAAAAAGCAAAGTGTAAAAGTATACCTAATTATGTCAATTTTTGTGTAAGAAAGGGGAAATAAAAAATACACATCTATTCACTTATGCAAAAAGAAACACAGGAAGGTTAAAGAAAAACTAAATCAGACTGCTCACCTCCAACTGGCAGGCGGGGAGAGTGTGGAGGAGTGGGGGAGGAAGGGCCCCTCTCTGAGCGCATCTCCTGGAGTTGTGACTGAGTGTGTTACATGCTCATGGTAAAGGAGTAGATAAACAAGAGTGAGGGGAACCCTAAAATGGAACACAATTGAAACAGATGGACCCAATTGCATTTCTAATGACTATTATAATTACATGGGGCAGGGCAGGGGATAATCCATGTATCTTCTGAACACAGCATTTTGACTATAAATCCTCAAACTCTCAAGCTAAAAACGAAAAAGTATACATTTTGAATTCTAGCTGGCAGATCTGTTTTTTGCAGTGGTATCAGTGAGCAAATCTCTATTTTCTGTATATTCTAGGGTTGGTAAAATAAGTAAATCTATTTTGGATAATGAAAGCTACTGTCGGAGGAAGGGATTACAATTGTGGAAAGTGGAAAAGGCTACTATCAACCTTGTATATCAACTGAAATTGGAAGCATCAGTGTGAACTCTGAGGTTTTAATGCATATAAAGAGAAGCAGATACAGATATTGACCCAGATCTGTATGATGCACACATGTGCATACACGTGTGCTTTCCAAAAACAACACTTTCAAAAGCCATGAGCACACTTAGCTTTCAGATGGTTTAAGTTCTATCCTCTACTGAAAAGATTAAGGCCTCCTTAAAGACAAAGTTGATTCTAGGAATGGGCTTGGAAAGTAGGCAATTTACCATGCCAGAGAGAAAGACGTTGCTCAAAGAATAAGAGGAACATACCGAAAGGACCCAGGAGCCAGTTGAAGGGACCACCACTGGCCAAACAGGGGACAATCAGAGCATCAAAATAAATGATGCTAATAATTTATAGCTCACTGAGTAAGAATCCATGAGTCCTCACTAATATAAATGAAAATACAAAATGGGGGAATGTAAAAAACTCTTCCTTACAGTAGCATGCCAACTAGTAAATATAGCAGGAATGACAGAATTAGAAAATTACCATTTGACAAAAATAGTAATAATTCTGGAAAGAATTACCAAAAATTGCTAAAAACTAGGGTGAAAGTTTGATGAGGAAAAAGACATTTACAAAGTGTCCAAGTATTTTTAATAAGATACTTATTTTTACAAAAGGAAACATAGTAACCTGATAACGGAGGAACCTAGCAGACACCATCTTAACCAAATCAACATCACCAGGAATGAAAGACTGACACCCATGTGCCTCTGGAGACGCTGCGCCAACACACATGCCTTCTGTGGGACTACTGCCCAAACCGTGTCACCCCAATCTAATCACAGGGATACTAACAAACCCAAACGTGGAGGACAGTCTTCCAAACCAACTGGCGGGGGGAGGGCAGAGCTCAGCGGCAGAGCGCGCACTTGGCGTGTATGAGGTCCTGGGCTCCATCCCCAGTGCCTCCGCTGAAATCAATCAATCAATCAACCTAATTACCACCCCTCCACACACACACACACAAAGAAACATCTTTAAAAAAATCAATTCCAGATAGATTGAGGACCTAAATATACAACGTAAAATAATAAAGCTTCTAGAAAAAATGTGTAAGAGACTATCTCCTTGACCTCAGGACAGGAAAAGATTTTATAAACAAAACACTCAGATACACACACATAAAAAAATCTGAGCATAAAGAAAAGATTAACAAACTGGACTATATTAAAATTAGGAACTTCCAAAAGCAAACAAAAAACAAAAAATCAAGAACTTCCATTCATCAAAAGACACAATCAAAGAAGTAGAAAGAGAAAGCACAGAGTGGGTGAAACGCGTGCAACACATGTAAATGCCACAGGGCTCACATCTAGAACAGGTGAAGGCCTGGAAGTCAGCAGAGACACTGCACCACCTCACAGCCGTTAGGATGGCTACTACCAAAAAGCCTGAAAAGGCAAGCGCTGGCAAGGATCAGAGAAATGGGAACCCTTGTGCACCGTTGGTGGGAATATGAAATAGTGCAGCTGCTATGGAAAATGGTATGGTCGTGCCTCAAAAAATTAAGAACAAAATTACCATATGACCCAGTAATTTCACTTCTGTGTATATACCTAAAAGAACTGAAAGTAGGGTCACCAAAAGGTAGAAGCAACTCAGTATCCATCAACAGAAAAATGGATACACAAAATATGATCTATACATAATGATATATTACTCAGCCTTAAAAGGGAAGGAAACTGGGCATATGCTACACTGTAGATGAACTCCGAGGACATTATGCTGAGGTTAATAGGCCAGTCACAAAAAGACAAACTCTGTATAATTCTACTCATATGAAGTACTCAGACTCACACAGACAAAAAGCAGGACAGTGGTTGCCAGGGACTGGGGTAGGTGGGGTGAGTTGGTGTTTGATGGGAACAGAGTTTCAGTTTGGGAAGATGAGAAGGTTCTGAAGATGCATGGCAGTGAAGGTTACTCAGCAACATGAATGTTCTTAAGGCCACTGAACTGCACATTTAACAATGGTTAAGATGGTAAATGTTATGCGCATTTTACTACCAAAAAATGGTTGAGAAGAAAGATACCACAGCAGAAAAATGGGCAAGTGATCTGAACAGGCCCTTCACATAAGAGGATATCTACTATACATTAAACACATTTAAAAAAAAAATGAAAAAGTGCTTAATCTCATTGATAATATGCAAATGAAGATTAAAGCCCCTTTGAATCCCTTACACACACCTGAACGGATACAATGAAAAGAGGGGTGTAAGTGCAGCTGAGACTATTCAAACTGGTAACCACTTTGGAAGATGATTCAGCCATCTATCTATTAAAGGTGGACACTGTGTACTCTACCAGCCAGTGATTTCACTCCTGGTTATGGAACCAACAGAAATGGGTGCACGTGTGTGCAAGAGACATGTGTAAGAATGTTCACAATAGTACTGTTCTTAATGGCCCCAAAAGAAACTCCAGACAGATGTCCATCCAGGGCAGGTGAGGTGGACGACCTCGTGTTAGTAGTCAGCAAGGGAGGAGCTGTGCTGCAGGTGACAACAGGGTGATATCATGACCGATGCAGAACCAAAAGAACCTCACGTCCGAGTACATCTATACAGAGACCCAGAACTGGCAAAATGAACCTCTGGGGAAGAGTTAGGGTGACAGTTACCGCTGGAGAGAACAGGAAGGGACTTGATGAAGGGGGTGGGAGTCGGGGGCGCTGAGGGGCAGGGAGGCTGTTTCCTAGCCTGGCTGGTGGCCGCACGTGTGTTCACCCTGTGGAGACTCAGGAGGCCCAACACAGATGCTTTGCGAACCTCTCTGGATGTAGGTTCCACTTCATAAAAAAAGGAAAAACAAAACAAGAAAACAACTCTGCACTTTCCAACTTGCCTTTTACACAAAGGTACCAGCAGGCTCTCTGATATTTTTCCCTATTTCTTTTAATTTTTGTTACACAATTTTGTAAATATACATATATTCTCACACATAAACATCGCCCATAAATAACAGTCCAAAAAATGAAATTGATGAAAGAATAGATTTTTAGCCAACTTTTTAATAACAGATGCAAAACACAAGTCATCTGGTAAAAACAGATAGATACAAATAATGAAATACCACAACCAAAGAGTATATGCTTCTCCGGGTAAAGTCCAAGCTTCAAAGCCTGCATCTTCACCTCAAAATTTAAGATCAGTTTAAAATTTTTACCCTTCAAGTTTCAGAGATGATTGCTCACTCATACTGTTAATGAACTTTATACTGAAAAGGTATGATCACAAATCATCACTGAGAGTCATCAATCATTTTGATAAACTCTAATCGAAGTAACTGCAGCTTATTAATTCTCATCTATCGATTTTTAGAAAAAGTATCCTCAGGACAACGAAAGTGTATTGCTTCCCAAGGACTAGCTGTGAGCACCTGTGGAGTTCGGGCCTGGAGACTGCCTCGACCTGGAGGTTGTGGCAAAGGCCCCAGGTCAGACGTCAGCCAGCCACTCACAAGAGCGGGAACAATGTGAACAGCAGGAGTGCTTCTTTTCTTATTTACAAAAGCTCCACTCAGAAGTGAGGTGCTCAAATCACAAGGGTCCTTTCCGCAACAACTCACTGGATCTACCCTCAAACGAGATTTGAAGCGAGAGAGCAGAGGAAGGCGGCCCGTACCCAGCCCCATGAGAGCAGTGATGCGTGTCCCGCGCAATGACAGAAGCGCGCAGGTCCACAGGGGCGCGTGAGTGCGGACACCATGATTGTACGATGAAACGCCAAAACCTGCACTTGCCTGGTTAGTCACTGACGCTCCACCACTCACAGGGATTTAAACTGTGGGAGGTGACCACACACTAGAGAAGCACAGTGAACTATGACAACTTAGAAAAATGAAACATTTAAGTTTGTGGGATCTACAAGCCCTTTTGATTTTTTCCAATTTTTCTATCATTTTTTACTATTTTCTTCTTTCCTTCTTACCGTCTTACTCCAATTTCTATTCAGCGATTTTTTTCCTTCTTCTTAAGTAAAAGCAATCGCTCCAGCCCAGGCAAAGTGTTCCCAAAGAGCTTCCCCTCTTCTACGACCCTCCCCACTCCACGCACACACACAGAGGGTTACTTACACAAATCAGTCAACACAGCAGAGCCAAAGCCGTGGACAGCTGGCACACACTGGCCACAGCAGGGACACAGTTCTGCCTGACAATGAAGTACTTACTGCTCAAGAGCAAACTGCCATCAGCTCAGGATCCAGGCCCCAGAAGACCTGACACGCTGCTCAGCACACGCTCCACAGTGAATCTCTAAGACACCGCCTGCCAGCAAGGAGGAGGCAGCAGAAGGCAGGCGGCAGTGCACGTCCCAGGCCAGCACTCCGGCACGCTCCTCGCACCCCGTAAGTCACAGGATGCCCTGGCACACGGGCACTCCACTTGGGAGACAGTCCCAGCCACTGAGTCACCAGCGAGGGCAGAGAGAGAGGCAGCACTGCCACCAAGGAAACCGTCAGGCTGCTGACTGAGACTACGGGAAGCAGGCCAAGGTCCACTCCCGGCACCGTCCTCCAGGCCACAGGATGACACCCAGCAGCTCATCCTTGCTGGAGCAAGGAGAAACTCTGGTGGCATCCCCAAGCCCACGGAGCAAGTCTGGGTTCAGTTTCAACAACCCTGGAACAGAAAAACCAGCATTTCCTGCTAGATCTTTCCACACATACAAGGAAGTCCCTCATCAGCTGCTCCTGTGAGGTGCTTCTTAAATGATTAAGCCTCAGTCTGTCAAAGCCCTTCCTGGACACGAGGCTTCTAAACAGATCACATTTCAGGGAGTGCTGGTTTTCCCCATCAGACTAGCAGAAACCCTCTCCAGGTTTTCTCCATAGAGTCAGAGTTTTGACTCAAGATACCAAACCCCAAAACAAACAAGCAAAGAACAAATAAATGAGCTCTGGACTGAGAAAGATGGGAAGAAGATTGCATGGATCTCTGTTCAGTGACTCTAAGACCTGACCAGCGGAAAAATGGCCCAGGACACCTCAACACAGACACTGAGAACACCGTGGAAAGAGTATTACTTTCAGAGTCAACCTTGAGCTGGGAAGTTTCTAGAGCCAGCCCTAAAACTGCTACTACCTGCCACTTACAAAGCTCGTGCTGTGTGCCAGGCCACAGGCCATCCACTGTCACGTACCCTCATTTCATCCTGACCACAGCCCCAGAAGCCTGCACACACCGAGCCCAGGCCTGCCTGCTCCAGAAGCCCATGATCTAACACATCACTACCCTCTACAAACAACTCAGCCAGCCTCTAAAGGAAAGAATGTAAAGAAAAGTAGTCATGCTCTAACTAAAGTAATACCACACAATTTTAACTGGGATTGAACTGTGTCAGCTGTCAGAGAGTGCCAGTTTACAGTAACAGTGTAAGGGGCTGGGGTAGGAATAAAAACCCCTTTTGGGGGTCTCAGGGATGTCACAGCAGGCCATCCTTTAAGACCGAGCGCACACACTCTGCTCACTAAGCCTTCCTGGGCTTGGCACAAGGTTCTCCCATTTGAAGTGGCTTGCGCGGCCCTCCTGCCCTCTCAGTGCCTGACTTTCCGCTTTGTGTCTTAGTTGTTCGTCATGTGACCCGTCTGCATCCTTTACTCCGCCAGCTCCTTAAAGGCAGGAGCTGCCCCAACACACCGACTGCGAACAGCACACCACGAGCTTTCTGCAAGGGCACCAGCAGAGGGTGATCCTAGACACAGTTTACTTAATAACTCAAACAGCCTCCTAAGACTCCGTCCTTAGACCCACCCCGCGCTCAGTCAGCCGGTGAATACCTTTGACAAGGACGCTGCGGTGCCAGTGCCGGGCTTCCCGACCTTGCCTCCTGCAGGTGCTGGGCAGCTGTTCTCGGGTTTTGTTTTGTCCGTGGCTTGCGTTCTGCTTACCCCGGACACCTTAGGCGCTGAGCCGACACTCCTGCTTGTCTTCTTCATTCTGGGCTGCCTCTTCGTGATGCATTTACAAGCAAATCTGTGGAGAGAGATGGCGTTATACCGAGAACAACACTACAAGAAAGCGCTTCAGAAATTCGTTTCTGAAGGATTTTACCAAGTGATAAATAAAACTGAAAGCTAGATGTTGTGACAGAAAATAAAGCCTGAAAAATCTGTAGGCTTGTTAATCAGAATGCACCCTGTTTTCAAGGCTTCCTTCTTGAATGTTACTAATTTGAAATTATTTTGTGCATTCCAGTCAGTAAAAAGAATATTCTAGATCTCTAATGGAACAGGCTAACACACTACATTATCTGTGGCATTTAAGGAAGCAACCATCATCCCGGCACTTGAGAATCAGCCATTTTGCAGGCCTTTTAAGGCGATCGTATCTCCCAAATTATTCGGCACAGTCTTAAATTTCAAATATTTCTTGTGATATCCCCACAGAAGCCAGCAGAATATCCCAGAAACTCCAACATTCAGGGCCTAAATCTGTCTCCCAGTGTATCTCTTGTATCAAGAGGCAGCAGCAAAATTCCTTGTCAGAACATAAGCCTCAAGTTTGGGTTCAGAAAGTAAGGGCATCCTATATAGCTGTAAGGAGCAGACAGCAAACCTCCCGCCTGAGTGAGCAGGCTCAGTTTCACAGCTTAAAGGACTTGGAGTAACACAGGCAGCACACAAAGCTTCATCCAGGAAAACCCTTAAGCGTACCTTTATTGGCTGAGCTAGAAAAGCAGTCTCTGTAGTAGTATCATGTTTGGAAAGACACCCTGGCCCAGGTGTACAACTACCAAAACTCCAAGCCTATCGTGAATCTAAGGAAGTTTACGTACAAGGATGCTGAGAAGCTACCTTGAGCACAAAACAGAGGCTGATCTACTTTATGAAGATTTCCACACACTGATAAAAACAAAGAGAAACGTCACAGAACAACCTCTGGGGAAAGAAAAGGCTCATTCCAATAGCTTCAGTCAACATCTGCCTAGACTATGCTTGAACGCACCAGATTTATCTTGCCTGACATAACACAAACTGCGCCAACTGGTTTGGTGGCAGGAACAGTGAGACAGCGCCAAGGGGGCTCCGCTCCACCCTCACCGTGATGAGGCCTTGGAGCAAAAGCAACACTGTTATTATTAATACCAACCGAAACAGCGAAACCTCAGAGCCTGCCCTCCAGCCTTCCCCCAACTCCCGGGTCAGCTCCTACAAAGAGTGCTATATTCGGGAATGACCAAGTCGCCCATCCGCTCACCTGCTCGTAACCCCCTTGCCTTCTACTCTCCTGTCCCATTTGTGTGATCAGCCCTGAGCAAGCGCTCCTCTGGTTCAGCCCCGCCATCTGTTTCCTACAGTTCCCAGAAGACACTGAAAATGACCAGGAGACAGGCAAGCAGCATCCACAACATGCACAATACAGTTAAAAATAAAGATCCTAAGAACCTTCCCTTCAACGTCCCATTTTCTCTTTATATCTACCCCATCTTTTCAACGTCTCCCATCTTGTAAACGGCTCCCCAAAGTTGCTTTCTTCTCCAAACTGTAGGTCTGAGCTCTTCTCCACACTCCCCAAACCCTTGACCATTCTCTGCCTACTCCTCCAGCTGCTGTCAAATTAACTTCTTCTCGGCTAGCACTATCCAACAGAAGTTACTGCAGTGATGCAAATGTATCCGTCTGTGCTGTCCAAAATATAGTAACCACTAGCCATTACAGGCTAGTGAGCACTTGAAATGCAGCTAGTGTGACTGAGGAACTGAATTTTTTGTTTTATTTGATTTTAATCTCTTTAAACTCAAAGGTACATGGTAGCTACCATATTGGACATCATAACAGACTGTCCCTTTCCTGCTGCTGTCTCTGTCCCAGAGTTAAAACCTAGTGAACTACCATGTCCCGTCCACTAGGATGGCTATAATCAAAAAGACAGATGGTAACTAATGTTGGCGAGGATGAGCAGTAACTGGAGCCCCCACATGCAGCTGGCAGGAATGCAGAATGCTGCAGTTACTTTGGAAAACAGTCTGGCAGCTCCTCAGATGGCTAAACACAGAGTCACCATACCACCCAGCAATCCCACTCCTGGATATTTGCCCAAGAGAAAGGAAAACACTGGCCACACAAAAACTTACGGAAAAATGTCCGTCCATAGGAGTATTACTCATAACAGCCAAAAAATGAAAACAACACAAACAACCTCAAAAAATTCTACCCATTAAACCAGGACAGAATTCTTTGTTAGCATTTAAATATATATTTTTCACTTATGAGCATGCATTTCTTATTGGATACACATTATCATATGTTTTCCACATATAAAATAACTTCTTGTTTCAATTCCAAATGTCCATCTATTGACGATGGATAAACAAAATGTGGTCTATCCATCCAATGGACTTATACTTGGGCACACCTGGTACAACACAAATGAACCCTGAAAACACTGTACCAGATAAAGGAAACCAGACCCAAATTGTCCAGAAAAGACAAATCCAGAGACAGTACATCAGAGGTTGCCAAGGGGTAGGAGACATGGATACAGGTTTCTCTTTGGGATGAAACACTGTAAAATTAGATTGTGATATACAATATTGAATAACATAACCCTGTGAATATACCAAAAAAACCACTGAATTACACATTTGAAATAGGTAAACTGTGTGGCATATGAATTATTTCTGAATAAAGCTGTTATTTAAAAAAACAACCTAATGACAACGTGAAACCAGAACTTGTGGGAGGTAGATCCCAACACTGTAAATTACCTGATAAGAAAAAGAGCAGAACTATGGTTGTGCAGATTTGGGAGCAGAGGAGAGGCAGAGAAGCTTCAAAGGTGCTGAGACGCATCTGGTCCAGGAGACTGGCAGCTCGCAATCTCGCCGGATCTCTTAGACCAATGGTTCTCACCACATTGGACCCAAACCTCCTTTCTCTAACAAATATGTAAATATACCTTTACTACTGAAATGAAATCCAAAGATAACCTATTTATTATATACATTATTTCTAAAATTATCTACATAATTTGTCAACTATAATATAAAAAATAATTTAAATTAAATATGAATTTCAATACGTAAATGTTCGAGCAATACTATACTAGGAATAAAACAGAAAATCCACACCTCTAAGTTGAATTACTGTGAATCTGACAGTTACAAACAGTCTTGACTTGGGCACACAGGACTAGCAACTTAGACACCATGCTATATACCATGCACACTCTCAGTAACGTGATTTTCTAAAAGGGTGAACCACGCTTGGTGTGACAGCTAATTTTGTATGTCAGCTTGACTGAGCCCAGGGTGTCCAGACACTTGATCAAACATTACTCTGGCTGTGAAGGTATTTCTGAATGAGACTAATACCTGAATTCTCAGGCTGAGTAGGCTGTTCTCCCTAATGTGGGTGGGCCTCATCTGATCAAATGAAGACCTGAGTAGAACAAGAAGGCTGAGTGCCTGGAACCCCTCCTGACTGACTTCTGGAGCTGGGGTGTTGGTCTTCTCCCGCCTTTGGACTCCCGCTGAAAAACTGGCTCTTCTCGCGTGTAGAGCCTGCCAACCTCGAGGCTGGAACTTACGTCACCCGCTCTCCGGGGTCTCCAGCTGGCCGACTGCAGGTCTTGGGACTCCTCAGCCTCCGTAATCATATGAGCCAACTCCATATAATAATAAATCTCTTTCTAGATGCGTGTGCATGTGTGTGCGTGTGTAGGTGTAAATACATCATACTGGTTCTGTCTCTCTGGAGACCCTAATACACTTCATAAAGCTGAGAACAAACAACTTCCCCTCAACACCTACAGTAACTGCACTCCTGAAAAGTCCCATATATACCAAAAACACACTTAAAAATGCTTTCTTTGTGTAAAAAGAGTAAGAATCTAGGTTCAGTTATGAACAGGCTTTTTTTTTCTATCCACATAACTTACTCAGCAAGATGTTCCAAAGTTGTGCAGATCACAGGGTAAGTTTCCACTTTACAGAATGGTCACTTCATTGAGTCTAGAATTCCAGGGACCCCATCTATTAAATGCCAAGAGCATTGAGACAAACAAAAAAAGCTTGTATGATTTTCTAAAATGACCCCTTTTAAGGGCAAGGATCCTCAAAAACAGATTATAATTCAGCAGTAGACCTTGGCCCCAGCCTGGGCCCAGGGAGACTGCAGAGTGGAGGGTGAGGAACGCACAGTTCGCAGCAGCTCCGGGGTCTGAGAGCTGGAGAAAGGGGTGTGATGGGAGTCACCACCATGCCCTCCCCGACCTCACACAAGGGTGTTATGTCAGCACCCAACACCACCTCTAGTCCAGCAAAATCAAGGTGTGGAGGGAAATAAAAAGTAGCCCTCCTCACAAAAGCAGGATGGACACTTTCTGTCTACATATGCTAAGAATGATCTCAGCTACAATAATCCATGAAGTGTGCCACATGTATTTCTTAAATAATATTTCTTAGAAATGTCAAAATATATGCGCTGCTCCCCCAACAGGGTAAGACCCTGAGAGCCCTGAGCCCCTCCCACAGGGCAGGCACCCTGGCCCAGCTGCACCGCCCCCAGCACAGCTCACTGTGTCCCCACACGTGGGCGCCTGGGATGCAAGCAACTCTCTTGTTAGCCAAGGGCAGAGACACAAGTGCTGTCATTTATAGACAAAAGCCTACGTTCAGTGAGAAGGCTGCAGTCTGGGTGGCCAGACCTCTCACCGGGACGTCCCAGGGCAGGACTTACAGCTCCTGGAGCCCTGCCTAAAGCTAATTACACAGCCACAGCCACACAGGAAGCTTGAGTTCCCTTCACATCCATGAGGACATCACATAAGGAAGACAACCGAGGCCCATCTCTCACCTTCCACATATGGCAGATAAGACGTTATTTAAAAATCAAATCACAGACTCTTATAAATGGGAAGTGTTTTGGAGGCCGTTTACAGGAAATTCCACATGCAGCATCACCGACAGAAAATGGAGGATACTAACCACTGAGAAGTTAGGAAGCAAGTCATTATTCACGCAACAGTCACTG